GAAAAGAGGGCGGAGTATGCTGCATGGCCATGAAACAATTATTCTATCGCCTCAAGGATATTTATATTCGTTGTTTACGGTAACATTTAGTTAATTTAATTTTATTTTCTGCAAAATAACACTACAACGGGAATCAACATAAGACGGGCCCTGTTCTCGATAAAATCTAGCAGCGAAAGCAAAGGCAGAGAGAGGAAAAGAAGGGTCTTGACGTAGATTAAAAATATTAATTATGCGGTGATAGAAAGTACTGTGCAGACATGGTAGGGGGAGATTATGTACTTACTCCGTAGACAATGATCCCCCCAAAGTTGCACCTGCAGAAATGGCGCATGCAAGTACGAAACTAAGCTGTCAGTTAGTCTGACTGTCTGGGTAAATTGTTGGTGATCCTCCTTGACGGGTGTTACGACGTACAGATACCTACTTATTCTAGGGAGTACATAAATAGGTAAGGTAAGGTATTGATGATTACACCTAGCGTACGAGCTATACTGTGCTACTGGTATTAGAAAGACAAGTAGTCGTTGTCTCTTCGAGGAGATTTCCTATTGTGTCTTCCACGCCCCTTTTCTCCTTCCTTCGCCTTGTAATGAGCCGCTTGGCTTTGGTTGGAGAGAAGGAGGTCTGGGCTTGGGAAGGGAGATAACGTCCTGTTTTTTATATAGGTTTCTGCGGAATATTCTGAAATTCTGGTTCGAGAAAAGACAAGAAAAGTATTATTGGCTGGAAACCTGATTCAAAACGTAAAAATTGAAAAAAAAAAGGCTCACATGCAGGTTCCTGCTGGAACGGGTTTAGCCTATTGACTCAGCATCTGACCCCCGGAATTCTTTCAGCAGCATCAGTATCTTCCCTAAACAGTACCCTAGATACCATAAGTGTTATTTAGTCTCCAGATGTATCGCCTAACCAGTCAGATACTCATATCTGTATCAGTATCGTTGATGGAATGGCTCGTGGTGGACCGATTTCGATTCCTCAAGAATCTGCCCCTATCTGCCAACAACCAGTTTGCCTGGATATCCCTGGGTGACAAGTGTGAACTGTTCTTACACATTGGGATGCGAAGGTCGCAGAACGAACTTAGATATTTCCAGGATTTACCCTAACAATCTAATGGGTTTTAGTTGATGGAAAGTGTGCCGTTTGACGCCCTCGGGCCTTGAATCCTTTCTGTGCTTCCCCCCAGGAAATGCAGCGACTCATTATTAATGCTCTTACAGGATAGTCTCAGAGCCCACAAGGCCTCAGTCGAATCAGCCCTATCCCTTTCAGATCAAAGCTCGGCTATTTCCCCCCAGCGGTCGGCTAGACATCACGTCTCACATGACAATGGGCTACAAGGTAAAGGAAACAGCGATGTTTGGTATGTAACAGTGGCTCGGTCCGTTGCGTATTGTTGTTTCAGATCAGAACACAAACATAATCAAGTGTATAGGTACATTAATGGAAAGGGTGTGTGTCTCAATCTGCATGTCGGTGCTGGATCATATTCTGGTCTCTGGTCAAGTAGGGTCGGAACAAGGCATCGTCCTTTTGACTGCTGACTCTATCCGCAGCACCTAATTACTCTTTTCTTCATGCCGCATATACAGCAGCAGATGAACGGGCTCCAGTCTAAATATACCTTGACGTCAGACCACAAATTGCCTCTTGGCTTTGGGGGAAAGAGCTCCCGGGGAAAAAGGTTTTGCCTAGCCAAGTTGGGAACTGCAACGCCCCCAAGTTCGCCCTAGTGATTATCATAATGGCAAGCACCGAGTCCATTTTGACAAGACCTCTTTGGATGGGCTTGGGCTTCTATACGCTCCTTCTCGTCGCGAATTTGCCCCTCAGAACTACTATTGTGTGCGCTAATGACACCAAGGCCTTTTCATGAAATTCCGGTTGCACGTCATGCGTTGTGTGATTTGTTTCTTGGGAATCGAAAGACCCTCGGGTTTGTACTTTTAGATGGATGATCACCATTGCCCCCGTGGAATAAACCAATGGAAGGATCACAAAGTTGGTTGTAGCCGTCAGTGCTTCAAGAATGTCTCGAGATAAGAGACCAAGTGGAAACCTGTTACTCCGACATGATGCGGGCGAATGCCTTTTCCAGCCTGGTCAACCCCCCCCCCCAAATCCTGGTATCAGCTGGGGTCCTGGCAATGCCTCCTCCTTACAGATCCCCATCCTAGGTTGTACAGAAGAATGCAGTCGCAAATCCCGTCTCGAGGTCCTCGCTCGACCATATTGCCTGTCATACAGCCGGGCCCTCGGGCCACTTTACACAGCCACCGACGCCTTCTCTTGACTCTAAACCCTCTGGACTCTACTGGTCGCCCTTGATTCCCCTCTCACCCCGAGGCGGGAGATGTTCCGGAATTGGCCGTTCATGTATACTTGCCTGGCAACAACCGTTCCCCAAGTTTGCTTAAATTGATTTCAGAAGACAAGTCACTTCACCACGCCCAATTTGGTCAAACATGCAGCTGCTAATCGATTATCCATGATTGTGGCATCACGATCGTACTTTACGTTTCAACGTTGTGTTGCCGATTTCTAGGACGTAGATGGCGTATCTGACGGTTGACAGGAATTATCGCTAGCTCAAACTAAGAGTTTATTTGGCCATCACCTGAATTTCCTGTGTTAAAGATCTTCGGATTGCCAACTCGCGATAGAAAGGTAGTCGAAGTCAGTGCACTGGTGGCTGTAGGCTAGGTCTTAGTAATTCTACAAATATAATATAATGGAGGATAAGTCTTGGCTGGATGCGGCAACTAACTACGGCATGTTAGGGAACGGTCAGACACGCCTAGAGGTTGCCAAAACGTCCCGTTCCTTTAGTTAATAAAAAATGCAAAAGGATAGGAAATCCAATCGGACCATACTTTGATACGTTTGAGGAACCCTTGACCGTGAAGCGTTTGCTATGGTTGTTGCCTGATAGAGTTGGCATATGTTTTCTCACAGCGGAAGAAGAGTCCTAGGCAGCACCGGTGTACTTCTAGCTTGTCTAGGAATACATACTAGGTACTTACCTCTACTACTCGATAGGTACTCCGTATTGTGATGGGAGAATGACCCATTTACCCAACACCGGGCAGTGGTAATTTGCGTAAGACCAAAGGGAAAAACCAAGGTCAACCTCGTCCGCGATGCTCGGACGATTTGAGCGCAGAGTGGAGGAATGGATCTAAGACTCGATTTGTACTAAAGGCCGGGGAGGGTGGAGGTACATACATGGTACTTCCTGCTTCGGACGAAGAGTCTAGGACTAGCGCGCCTACTAACTCGGGAGAGGCACAGACAGCCGGGGCGATACCGGTACCTTACGAGTCGGTAAGGTACTGTCAAGGCAGTCCGTGTCAGAACGTGACAAAAGTACACGGACCCTTGGCCAGACGCGGTGATTGGGCCGGGGAAACAGGGATGGCAGCAGCCGCGGGCTTTTCCAGCAGCAGGTCGCCGCAAAGGGCAGGCGGACCGTACTTTTCCTTCCGTGGCGGCGAACCACTTGGTTGCCCTGTTGGTTTATTATTTGATTTCCATTTTTGTCGTTTCTTCTTCGACCTACAGATGGTATCCAGTATCTTCCTTTCTTTCTCCCTCTCTCTCCCTCCCAGCTCCCCAAGTAAGGTATCGTGGTGGTTACTGCCTTACTAGCTTCCCGTTTGAACCACCGAGCCAGTTCCTGCTCGGAGATTGAATAATTCATGCTCAACCTCACGAATCCCTCCCAGAATCCAAGTGTTGGCGCGGTAAACCGACTGCATTTCATTACACCCATACTGTACAGACCTGCAGACCGTCCAGACCGGACTCGGCCACAACTAATATTATCAACTTAAATATCCATCCTGATGTCTAGCTGACTTCCTACTAATTCATACTGCCTTTTTCCTAACCCAACTCCTCCGTACATCGTCATTCCTCTCGGGCTCCATTACTTACCCCCCTCCCTCTCCCAAATACCTGACTTCTTGACCTCCGTCTACTCGGTTCGATCATTTGGGTTCACCTACAAACTCGTCTGTTTTCCCCTACATAAGTCTGTCATTTTTTATTACTTTGTTGCCCGTCTTTCTCTCTTCCTCTGCGATCCCCACGTCTTTCCCTCGTGAGCACGCGCTTTTTGACTTCTTTTTATTTTCTCTTCTCTTCTCGTCTCTCCTCGTCCTTCCTCTCTCTCTAGTCCACAACACTTCCTTATTACGTCCGCGGCTCCCCACACCGTGCCTTTCTATTCTTGGCTCTACTCTGCTTCCAGTCTGCTGGCTCCATCGACAGTTTACTGATTTCTTTGCCCCCCGAAGAAGTCAGAGTATGAGTGACGGCGAGCTCTCGGTGATCTGTTCATGATGGAAGGTTCCATCCCTCCGTCGGCCGCCCTTCCTCTCTCTCCTACTACCACTTCTTCCTCTTCGGCCGTCTTTCGTCCCCGCAGATCTGACGACTGGCACGAGTATCGACCAGCCATCGAACAGCTCTATCGCGATAATCAGTTAAAGCTCAAAGATGTTAAAAGAATCATGGAGCGTGACTATAACTTTGTTGCCTCGTACTGTCTCCCCCTTTTCCTTTGCTCGCGGTGTCTTTGCTTTTTTTCTTTTTCTTTTTCTTTTTCTTTTTCTTTTTTTTCTTTTTCTCCCCCCGGGCGTTTCCCTCCGCTCTCAGGGAAGCCATGTATAAAATCCATCCGAACTTGAACTAGCGGAACTCAGATGATTTATTCTGGGGCTATTCTTTCTCACAAATGGATGTTTCTCTTCGCCTGCTTCTTTTCCAATTCTCGTTGCCCCTTTCTTTCGAGCTTGGAAGAGGACAGTGCGTCGTCTCTGTTGCTTTTTCTGAATTGCTTTTTCCACCCTCTTTGCTTTTTCCTCGATGGACGAATCAGGAGCTCAATAGTCATCCCCCTAACAATCAATACGTCCAGGGAAAAACAATATAAAGACCGCCTGGCAGCTTGGCACATCCGAAAGAACATCAAAAATAAAGAGGTCCAAGTCATGATCCGGAAACAGCAGAAACGAGCGGCTCGAGGCAAGCAAACCGCCTTTCGCGTTGGTGGGCAGGAAGTCGACTCCAAACGCATCGCACGTTTCGTCCGTAGATATGGCACCCAGTGGGATAGCAAACCTCGCGATGACCACCGCCAAGCTAGCCCAGAACCAAGTGAGTCAGATTTCTCTCCCGGTACATCATTCCATCGATCACAAATTCACCTGGAAATCGCAGAAACACCATCTGATATGAGTTGCTATACTCCGGAGCCCGACGAAAGAGGCGCAACCCTATCTCCGCTGCCTGAGCTGCAGCCAAACCATCGAGAGATGGCCCATCCTCGCTGTATGCATCCAGTCCAACATTTTCTTCTCGTGCGGATGTTCTTTGTCGATTAACCAGTCATAATCCTAGATGACGAGCCGTTCGATCCGATGCCCGAAGCCGACATTGATGACAATCGATCTTTGACGGCTACTCTCAGCCCTAGTCTACCTAATGAAACACCTAAACCTTTGGACACCCCCTTGCAAGAGGCAAATGCTTGGAATGAGCTTGTATCATTTCAAGATCGCCTTTTGGTCCTCCATCAGACCCTCGAACAGACCATGTCTGGGTTTACGTCGCCCCACGATGAATGAACACAACAGTCCGAAAAGAACAACAGGCGCTCTCAGCGCCTGAAGGCCCAGAATATGGAGGAAAGCGGGCCGTCATCCCCGTTGGGGAACTGCTCAAATGGAAAGATTGTCAACACCCACCTCTCTTATACCACCTTTTGTCATTGGTCAGAGTAACTATATTACCAGCCGCATCTCAGTTTACTGCATTTCTGTAATACTGCCCCATTGTTGCCATCAGCATTTCCTTTTATCATTTTTATTTTCCTTTACCATTTTTTCTTTCCGTTTGATTGGTTCACTTTAGCTTTTTCGTTCTGCCCTTCTCAGAGTGCCGACTATATAGAGCATCTATGGTTTGTTTTTCTGGGAGAGGTATAATGTAGGTTCTGGTGTACCGTTTAAATGAACAAATCGTCAAGGTGTACGGGACTGGTGGCACTTATATCCAGACCTCGACTACGAAGGCCGTCGCTCTCGCCCTAGTCTTGCCTTTCAACAATCACAACCTACAGAGCAAGGTGATAACCACACGGCGCCGATCTTATCGCAGACTTCAGACAGTCAAATCACTACGAAATCGTCGCCTTGCAATCAGCTTCTCGATACACTCAACTACCGTTGTGCACAACACATTTCCAAGGAGCAACATCATCCAACATCTATATTCCCCCTCATGACCCATATCTATGAGAGGTTGCCAAAAAGCGATGGAATGGCTAGCCTCTTTTCGGACACCAGTCTAACCCAAAATCAGATACCGGCGTCGCATCACGACTTCAATGTGACATTTACGTTACCGACATCTTTTGGATGCACCTTCTATATGGTCGATGACGAAGGAATATAAGGAGGGGGAAGAGATGCAATGAGGAACCACGAATTTCCAGCTTGTATGAAGGTGACAAAGATGGGAAATTCGCTCCGCTATTCTAGTTGCGCTCACTGTCAGATTGAAGGTCTAGGATCGAGGTAGTCGACTTATTCAGCGACAGGCGATCATGCGTATTGAACGGACCCTAGCGCACGAGCCCCCTCGAGATCCTGCAAGACGACGATATTCCATCGCCCGGTCGCCACCACACACGCCAACGCCAAGGCTGCCCCAGAAGATCGCTAGTGACAGGGGCAAAATACAGCAAGTGGAGGACAGCCCGACAGATGTCAATCGTCATAGTAAATCCTCCTCAGCGAGACGAAATGCTGTACTTCCACCTCTTCAAGGGTTATTAAACAAACGATGCTGCATGGGGAGTCCAAAAGTACTAGCGCTGGCTCGAGTGGGTAATCACAAACGACAGGAAATGAAAGAATCCAAACCCCGGGCTAAAACACATTAATAGAAGGTAGATTATGGGCAGCACCACGGCTAATGGTTGCACTGGTCCCCGAGACACAGATATCAAAAACTAGTCGATACAAACGAACGCTAGACCATGGAAAACAGGACCGAGTCCTCCACGACCAATAAATCTACCATGCAATGGACGAGACACCTCCCATCAGGGGGAAGAAACAAATAAAGCAGCAAATATGGAAAAAGAATCCGCCACAAATCAAACGATAGACTGCAGCCGACAGACAAACGGAAGGGATCACTGGCGCCGACTCCCCAGTCCAATCCGGTAGAGCCAGCCCTAACCTGAGCGAGCAGATCCAAGGGGGCCAGCGGACCAGTCAGTGGTTTCAGGTCCTGGCGTTCTTCGCGCCGGATATTGTCGATCTTTGTTGAACAAAAGTACTGGTCCTAAGATTACGCAGTACAGTGTTTTCCATCAACTTCTGTTGGTTTTCTCCCTCATAGGAATCTCGTGCGATATTGAATTTTTTTTTTTTTTTTTTTTTTTTTTGTATACATCGTACTTGATCGTATAACCCGTAGCTAGTATCTCGGCGTAGGAAAAGGCAAGAACGTGTATCTGTACTCCGTACATACTCCGTATATGCGAAGACAATATACCCTCCTGAAGAACCCACTGAGCGGCGCAGCTGAAAAGCCCGGTCACTACTCCGTACGGAGTAGAGACTCCACGCCAAAGTACTCCGTACATACACACATAACTACAGAATATCATATGACCGACTTCCTAGTCTTAGCCATCCCTCCTATTGACATCATCAGTATTTCTCTGACGGAACATCCCCGAATGCCTTGCTGCCTGAGGTATGATGTGATTTGCAGCCTTGCAATGATGCCGCCGTACCTTATCGTCATCGCTGGTCGAGGCTGACCCGCTGACAGGGGAGATTCTGAATTCTGACTGCTCGGTCGGGAGCGGTAGGTTATCGTTATCGTTCATCTGCTTCTTTCAGATGACCTTTTTGTCAGTGTCAATGTCCTCTCACATGACCATGACGTGCGCTTATAGTCGGTTTACCTTTTCTTTCTTTTTGCTTTCTTTTCTTTTGTTCTGATCTTCTGTAAAGAGAAAGTACTTTACAATCCCCTCCCATCGTCTATCTTCGACCAAAGATAGGCTTAGTAAATCTCCCAGGTCAGAATTAGTTAGTCGGTTTTGGTGCCTGTTATGTATGTATATGACTCCCGCTATTAATTATACGAAATAATACCGAGGTCTGCGTAGACTAACTGACTGGCTGACTGTATACAGTACATGATAGTCTCAAAACAAAACTGGAGTGAGATATAGATATATGCTGATTTACTCCTGTGAATTATATTGGGAATATCTATCTATCTATTTGATTTGCCTTTGTCATGAGGAGCTCAATTACTTGACTTGTATGTCTCTACGTATGTACATACATTCTCTGAGCAACAACACCCAACATTATCTTGCTATATGCGAATATCACTGTCTTACGATAGTCCCAACACCCAATTAACCAAAGTCAAACCCTATCCACTCTTTCCACCCAAGAACCCAACAATCAAACCAGCAATCTTCTCCGGCTGATCCTCCATGGCAAAATGTCCACACTCCTCCAACACCTCCAACTCTGACCCCGGAATCGCTCGCTGGAGTCTAACCCCCCACTCGACCGTCTGCCACTTATCATCCCCCCCCCAGATCAACTTCACAGGAACTTCTCCGAGCCGGTATAACTGATCCGACACCTCCATGGTATGTTTCGGGTCATAGTGACGGATCTGGTGCTGGAAGAGACTCGCCTGACCGATTGGTCCGGAGATGTACGATAAGAAGGTATTCAGGCTAGTTTCTTCGAAACGCTGCTGATTGTGAACGGCGGAGAGGAGCCAGTCCTTAAAATGTACCCGGTGCTCTTCATCAGAAGCCTTCATCAGCTGTTCGAGACCCAGCTCTAGTTGCGCTTTCGTCCTTTGTGATGGATAACTATCGAAACTGACCACGTCGATCATCGTCAAAGAACGTAGGTGTAGTCGGCGGGGTGACCTCGTTCCAAAGCGCTGCGCGATTCCGCCTCCGATGTCGTGCGCGACGAGATGGAATGTGGAACCGGCCTTATCGAGAGCCCAATGCGCTAGCAAGGCTTCGAGGATGGGCACTTGGCCGGAGATCGAGGTGTCGATGGATGGGTCGCAGGGCCGTTCGGAAGCGCCGTAGCCGAGGAGGTCGTAGACGTGCACTTTGTAACCGGCGCTGGTTAAGCGGGGGATTATGTTTCGCCATATTAGGGATGATGAGGGGGTTCCGTGGAGTAGGACCACGGGCTCTGGGTCTTCCTTCTTCGATGACGACGAGCCGGGGCTGAAGATGGAGTATGCTATGCGGGAGCCGTGGATGAGGACATGTTCGGTGGCTATGGGGAGCATTGTTGTTTGATGAGGAGGTTTGTTTGTGGATGGGTCCAGAGTGAGGAAGGAGGTTTGAGGACTGTGTGTTGGAGTTGGATTGGTAAGGAGGGGAAGTGTTATGATATCCGTGATCACTCAGCTTGGATCATTTGGGCTTGGCCATGGTCAGCTAACTACGTCAAGTCTAGGTACTCATTTTCTTCTGTATTTGTCAGATAGCCATGTCCCACTTTTTGCTGTTGGAGTTGTAGTTGTGAGATTATCCGGGTGTCTGTACCCGGATTGGTGTCCATTCATCGTGTCTCCACGGGAAGAGCCCTTCATATTGCTCAATTTGGATTACACATGCAAGCAGCTACTGTGGATAGTTAGGATAGGCAGTTCCTATAGGACGAACGCGACCCAGGTCGGCTTAGTGTACGAGTAAACGAAAGCTAATATTTAGCTAGGTCCAAGTGCATTAATAATATTTCTATAGAATACGTCGTTTACTCCAATGTGTTTCTCAATGTACTATGTAAAACATTAGGAATCAATATAGCCTAAAGCAAAGAAGATCTATCAGCATCAGCATCACTAGAGCTAGAGAATGTTCTCATAGCGTAATATCAAAAAAAGAAGATCCAGACGCACATTCATCCACATGAGTCTTCTCGGGATTTAGATCAGGCTGAATCGAAGTCAGAGAGAATCCTCTGTCGACAAGTTATAGAACGGAAGGACTTAATAAGTAGTAATCCTGCGTAGAAGGTGTATATAAAAGACTCTAACATGCACTTGTATGTATGCCTTTGTATGTACTCTTTGCATAGATAGATTCAATCTACGCTTTTCATATATACGCTACCAACCAGCGCCTCGCCCTGAACTCCAGGTTGGCAAGGCATATATCCTCGTCCTAGGTGGGTATATGAGGCAGTACTGAGTCGCTTAGGGGAGTTAGCTATCTCATACAGCCGCATCTAATGGATTGTTCTACCCATTTCAAGGTCTTGAATTTGTTCAATTTAGGCATCGGAACCCTACCCGTTATCGGAACCGTATCCGAGACTGATAGTCCAATCTTCCATTTCTCTTGAAGAAGAGATGGACTCTACTATACAGTTTTTATCCTCGATAGATAGAGAGATAGAAAGAGTCAAGTACCTCATTCATCAATTGTAGTATATATACTCCACTCTATTCTACTACCGGCGTCAGATTGTCATGAGTGGAGACCGTATACTCCGTACACCTCCGTTTTATCTGGTCTACCTAAAGTGGGCTAGAAAATCCATTCCAAAAGTTCCATTCTATGAGTATTGGAAAGTATCTAGGTAGATAGTTTCATGCGAACAGACAGGAAGTAAATAAATATACTTTTGTCATCATGAAGTCACAGAGGCAAGGTGAAAAGGTGAAGTGATGAAGAAAGATAAAAATAATAATTTGTACAGAAAGTTATAAGAGAAAAGAATAAGAGAGATGTGTATAATATAGAGAAAATAAAAAAGGGAAAAGGGAAAGGGCAAAGGAAGAAGACCTTTTGAAAGCGCTCAACCATTAACAAATGACGAAAGGAATCACAATCACAACCACAATAAGAACAAGCATGAGAAAACAGAACCATGTCCCCAGTAATGAAAAAGAAAAACAAATCAAGTTACCCAACGCTTGTAATATCCCGTAGACCAAAAGGAAAAAAAAAAAAAAAAAAAAAAAAAGAGGTTGGTAGTAGTCATCAATATCTCTCATCCCGAGTGATATACAGTCATGTGCAATGATTCCGACTCGGTTGGAGTGGGTCGATAATGTGTTCCTTGAGACGTAGCGGTGCTGTGCTGGCGTCAAGAAGAAGGCAAACATACGCCTCATGAATAGAAAGCGCTCTTTTGGAAGCTCTCCGGCGAGATGTCACCCATCTTGCCCTTGAGCTCGGGCTTCGTATCCTGGGCAGCGACGGTAGCGATTTCTTCAGACGCGCCCGCTTGTAAGCTGTTGCTACGGCTAGCCGCCTGGCTACCGGCCGTGATGGCCTGTTGCGGTTTCCGCTGAATCGTCTCCAGGTAAGGCCCGGGAAGGTATCCGACGCGGCCGTCTCGGGCCCGGCACCGCCACCATTCAGACGCATTGCCCATGGGGTCCGACTTGCTGAGAACAGCGACGATGTCGCCCTTCTTCGCGGCCAAGTCGACGCCGTTGCTTTCCTGCGACTCGGGGGAGTAGTCGTACAGCACACGGCAGAAGTCCAGCTTAGAGGGGTCCAGCGGAGCTCCGCCCTGCGCCTGTTCACCCTCCATGAGCTGGCGACGCTGCTCCTCCTGCGAGCGGGCCAACGACTTGATAAGTTTGCCCATGAGGTACGGAAGACCAAACAGGGCGATCAAAAACATGAAGAACGGCTTCTTCGATGGCTTAGGAGGAGCGGGCGATCCATCAGGAAGAACGGCGGGCGCGGACCGTCCGTTCAGGAATGCCGCGAAGGCCGACGGAGTGAGAGCGGTGGCGTCGGCGGGTGGTGGCCGACCGGTGAGCTTTGCGATCAGCGTCCTGAACCACCTGATCAAAGTGAAGATGCCGAGGGCCGAGCCCAGAGTATTGCGTAGATTGCCAAACTGTTCGGCGACGGAAACCATAGCTGTCATCATGCCTAAGTCAGCCTTACAATCCTCGATAAGATGTGAGACAAAAAGACAGTGAACGTACCGAAGAAAGAGCCGTGAGTCGCCATGTAGGTACTCTCGAGCATCTGAGCGAACCCGCCAAACGCGCCCACGATACTCTCAATCATCTGGAACGTCGCCTGGGTGTTCTGACCGAACGAATTCGTCAAACTGTTGGGATCGTTGGGATCACCGGGCATGCCACCTCCGTACATGCCTCCCATCCCGCCCATGCCGCCATACATGCCACCGTAGCCGCCCATGCCGCCATACATCGATCCCATGCCGCCCATCGTGCCAAAGCGGGAGTATGGAGAAGAGTAGGAGCTGTAGCCGCCCATGCCGCCCATGCCGCCGTACGGACTGGCGCCGAACCGTGAGGCACCATACGGCGAGTAATTCGACGCCGTGCGATTCACAACTGAGTTCAAAGAATTAGGTCGAGAGGGTAGATCGGGAGCGGTAGAGGTGGTCGTCGAAGCCGCGGTCGGCGCAGCCGAGGTAGTTGTTGTAGACATGGCCGATGTAGGAGCAGTGGATAGGGCGGTCCCTACATAGACAAAAAACAGAGATCGAGTTAGTCAATAAGATCCAGGCTGTGAACAGAGACACGACATGTCAGTTGATCACCTACCACCAGCGGCGCCTACCCTCTCCCACGGCTTGGGTGGCGAAACTGATGCCATGGAGATCGAGGAGGAAATCTCACCAGCCTCGCATCGAGTTGGACCCAATCAAGAGGCCAGCTGTCGGAGCAGAGCCGAGTCTAGATGGGGGTGGGTGGAAGTGAATGGAGGAAGATCCGGGGATGGATGTACGATGGGGGAAGAGAAAAGAGGAGCGAGAGAAAAAGAGGAGAAGAGGGGAGGAGATGGAGCGATGGAGAGAAGATGGAGCGGGAATGGATCGCCCGTGGAAAGCGGTGGAGAAACAAAGCGAACTCTCGGCGCATGTGCGAAATGCCGAGGCTCCGCGTTTTTGCCGACGGACTTGCCCGACGCTCACATTCTTTCCGATCTACTGATTACAGACACAGACAGATAGATAAATCAATATCACTTTCAGTTAGATCAAGCAAAGCTGCGATTCTACCCATATATGCTACAAATCGCCCCAAACTCCAAAATAATGCAAAAGGCGTCCAAATCGCCCGGTCGGTCTATTTATACAATCCAAACAAAACCCATATCCAACTTCTCCCTGTGATCATAGCTCGTCACGGCTGTTGGCCACCGGGGTACCGGGAAGCCGAATTCTCCAGGCGCGTGGAGGCACAGGAAGACCCAACCAGTAACTCCACAGCCGGTTGACTTCCAGGACACAAATATCCCATCTGTAAGTTAATTATTAGCAACGCAATCGGACAGAAGACTTGGGAGTATATATCAATAACTTACACAGTCCGAGGAGCTTTGAGCCAGGACTTCGCGACGTAAACAAAGGTGTCCCATACCACGGCAAACTCGGCCTTGATGTCGTCCATGACCGTGTCGGTTTCATGTCGAGCTCTAACCCGCTCCCACGGTAGCTTTTCAGTGGCATATGCGAAATCGTCCTCGTCATTTTCGTAATAGAAAGTCGAACCACCATCTTTATAAAGCCGTTTCGTGTTCTCACCATTGGGGTTCTTCTGTCGCGATCCCGGCGCCGCTTGAATGGCAAACACGTCGCCGTCGTTCTGATCCATGGCGCGGTGGAAGCTGCGAACAGCGGCCAGACTGTGCGAGATGCGGCCCAGGGTGTTGACCAAAGCCACCAACTCGGTTCTCCGAAGCAAGGGGTTCTCGCCGTTCTTCGTCTCGTCGTATTCAAACAAGACCTTCAGGGCGGTTCCGTACCCATTGACTTGGAGCTTACCCCAAAGTCGACATTTGTCGCATCCCACGCAGTCCATCAGGCGGCTGACGTTCCTGAATCGGTTGCGGAAATCTTCCTTCAGGCCAATGGCACTGGGATCCTGGAACATGATGTTTTCGTCGAAAATCTGGGGCCGGTCGGCAAGAGCCTTTGTGAGTGCGGACACCTTCGCCTTTGTTTCAGCATCCTGGAGAGGATCGCTGGTACAGTAGGTGTATCCCGCCAGGTGCTTCTGTAGTTTCGCCACAGCCCGAGACACGAGCGCGTAGTTGAAGTACAGGTTGGAGATCCGCTCCGGGTGGTCGTGCAGTCGCTCCTTGAAGCACTGTAGATTCGGATGCCACTGTCCCGTCGTTTGGTTGAAGTAATCCCAGCAGAGATGCGTCGAGATCGAAGCGTGCATTCCACTAATAACGCGATGGAAGACGCGCTTCTCCAAACACTCATTGTCCAGAGGCAACCCCTCCGCATGCTTCAGTTCCTTCTGAATCACATTCCGGAAGTCATTAACGGCCTCCAGCCCTCCCCACTGAGGGTTCGGAGTCGACTCCAGCTCCGGAACCGGCTTCAGGAAACAATTCTCACGGTAGACCGCATCCCAGAGTTGCCGGGCCCCGGCTCCAGCATACCCCGTGAACCGCTCCGGGTTGTCCACCAAACTGACATAGTCACCCTTGCTGCTGGCTCCCTCGTCCTCCGGGACGCAGTAATCCCGCTCGTCACACTCGTCATCGTACTCGACCACGCAACTCTCCCCGACGTTGTCTCCCAACATGCCCTGGAGGGGTCGATCCTTGGGCCGCTCCTTTTGCAGCTTCCGACCGGGATGGCCGGCCTTGGGACCCTCGAGTTTACTCAGTTCCTCCGCGCGCCACGTCAGCGGGATGTCCGCTTCCGATTCGATCGTCGTCACGGAGCAGGCGATGTTCCCGCACATGCTGTCTGAGTCTTGCCAGAATGGGCAGACTTTGTTGAAGAGGTTGAGGCGGTAGTATGAGAAGAAGTCGGTTTCTTGAGTAATGGATTGAAGGAGCGGGTAGACTTGGTCGTTCATCTGATTAATGGAGGAATAGGAAACGCAGGCGTCGGACACCGTGGCGCTGGGGTCAATCTGGAAGGAGGATCAAAGGTCAGCGGGCAAGAGGGAGATTAGACACCGCCGGATCATAAGTCAACTCACAGCGCAGGCGTCCACTTCCAGTTTGGATTGGTCATGGCCGTCATGGTTGGCGGAGGTGAGGTTTAGAAAGGTGAAAACAGCCAAGTAAAACACCTTGGCTGCGGAGCGCATTTTGGCGCAAAGGTCTGGAGTCCAGACACACGAACGACGGTACGTCGAGACAAGAAAAGGGAAACGACTGGAAGACAGCTAGATAGCCAAGTGGAAACGTAAATCGATCAATGTAAACACCGTGCTAAAACGATCTTCACATGAAAACCACCAACAGTGGACCAGCACCAAAAAAGAAAAAATAGGGCGGCGAAGGTAGTCGGGCCAAGTCGTTCTCTATCTGTAATTCACTCGAGTTAAACAGTCACGTGTATCGGGAGAAACGAAGGAATTCGAGTTCAAGAAGATGCGACGGCCGTGAAGGGAGGGAGGAATGGGCGGAAGTAAAGAAGGGAGGCCGAGGGCGAAGTTGACAAGCTGTCCTTGGTGGCGGGAGTTGCATGACTTATCGGCTGATTATCAATAATGAGGGAAAGGAGTCGATTCCGCCTTTCCGCCCGATCAATTATTTCTCCCCTTTTGGCTCCCTATTGATAAGGATTCTCTTTGTCCGTCGTGAGGCCATCGCGTTTCTCTTGGGCTTCCCATCAGGCCACATCCGATCAAACCGTTATTTGATTCGATCGCTGGCGTTTTGCAGGGATGAACCCGACAGCTGTTCGCATCTACCCACCCGGACTCACTGAGTAGAAGCCTAGACGAAGAGTCCCTGACACGGAACTAACACCGATCTGTCTAGTCTCGATCCCTTTAGATGACCCTGAAATATCATTTAATAAATTCACCCTCTACTACCGACGTTTCATCTTCTGGACATAAACCGTAAATCATAAGCTGATCCAACTCCGTCAAACCTTTCTTGCCCTAATTACGAGACCCGTAATCTCTCGGTCTCCTGGACCACATTCCCCTGTCTGCCTTGCATATATTGCCTTTTATTACCCGATACGAGTGTGTAGGCAGCAGCAGCAGCATCGGAGCCTTTGTTGGATTTTCGACCGTTAACCGTTAACACACACTAGGAAAGTATCTACGAACAGGCGGGAAGGCGCATCCCGTCTCACTCTCGCAACGTGAAGATAGGATGGGATGGGATGGAGGAAGTGGGATACCAGTATAGCTAGACTAAAGGACCGATAAGGACAGTGCTAATAACTATTGTGTTAGGATGATGGTTCGAACAGGATGCGGTCAGTCTACTCCGTATCTTGCCTTATCTTACCCAGGGACTGTAGATACAGGGGATGGAGTGAGCATACCGCTGTCTGCATGCCAGACACGTCGATCGGTATCCCCTCGCCTCTGCAGCGGTTGCAGTTATCGTAGCGACGCGTCTATGTATTTCCACGGATGAGATGGAATTTAGCGACTCGGAGCGTGGTGTTCAGGTGTTTGAAGGCCAGGCCAGACCTGGTCCTTGACTAGATCTACGTGTCGCGAAATTCGCGAAAGACTATCACGAAACACGTTTGACTACGATGAAAGAAGGCCATTGTTTGGTGGTGATTAGATCTTTTGTCATTTTTATTGAATTTAGAGATGGATCTACCATTCTCTTCCTCAAAAGACAGTGCGAGGGAATGCAAAAGAGCCATTACCAGGCCGCACAAAGAACATCTCGAAAGTAGCGAGGGAACAGGAAAAGGCCACGGCAAGGAGAATAACAGACAGAATGGAGTCCTTTCACAACCTCCTCGAAGACAGCGACAATCTTGAAGCAGTGACAACCCCGAAGACAGTGAAGGTGCTTGGATGTGCCAATTTATGGCGGTGCAACCTTGAAGACAGTGAAGATGCTTGGATGTGTCATTTTATGGCGATGCATCAGAGAATACATTCAAAGAACAGGCACAGAGCAGCGAGGAAAAAATGTCAAAAAAAACCTCTGCTTGGGGAGAGAGAAGAAGAAGAAAGAAATGAAAGATAACTCCGAGCCCGTCGGGAAGAAGATGGGGGCATCCATTAGATCATTCCGAACAGAGTAAGTCCGACCAACTCCAAGCTAAACCGAGAAACCGCTCTTGCACACCGTGCCTGCTAAAACAGGCAACCGGGGAAGATGACGAAGATCACAAATGAATAAAGTAAGTATGTCCCAATTGGGACTGAAAATATGTACATGTCAGAAGCGAAATGAAGTTGTCTTGAAATCCGAAATAGAAATCCCAGTGGTAAATCATCACTCTATATCGTTGATTGCAGAGCCTGATATCATTGCCTGATATATTCTAGCGTAATTTATAAACTCAGGTGTTATATCAAGTCGTGCCCCGTCGGCGGCGGAAATGCAACACCTTTCGGAGCGAGGCAAATGGTTTGGGGAGAGGTTTGTTGTAAAATGGATCGTTTTTGAAATCCTCATCGGTAAATTTCTATTGAAAACAAACGTTAGCGGCTGGGACCTAACCGAGCCGGAAATGTGATAGAGACACGTACCAGTCCAGGACAGCGCATAAAATTTCCGTAGTCGTTCATCATGTTGGGACCCTCCTCGTATTCATAGGTTTGGCCTTCCCTGTCGGTATGACCGGGAGGGAAATAGGCGACTCCATCTAGCGGATGGTGGCCATCAAGACAGTCGCGGATTTTGTCGGATGGGGTGGCCTTGAGAGCCTCTGTGTTTGACGTCTGGAGCGCCTCGACGGGACTCGCTTTGGTGTCGTGATTTCTTTCGGGGTAGACAGCGTCATAGGGACCTTCGTGGTGGTACTGATAGATACCCGCTTCATCCAGACGGTCAATGATATCAGGGTTAACCAGGAGTGAGTCACGCGGAAATCGAGTCTGACGTCGTCCTGAGCGCGTCGTGTGCTGCCGACGAGGCTGTTGATGGGAGTTGTGATGGTGATGGCCATGATGATAAGTCGGATACTCTCGCCTCCGCGGCTGCTCCATGGGAAAATGTTCGAGCATTCCGTTATAGTAGACGGAGGGGAGCGAGGAAGATCGTTGATGTCGGAGGGAGTGACGAGAAGGAGACGGAGAGAGGAAGCGATGGTAAGGGTTATGACTCCGACGGCTCATGTCCAGGCGTGGAGGAGAAGAGTAGCGAGGAAGAGGGGAGAGAGGCGAAGTCATATGCAGAACCTCGGTGGAGGCCATGGCAGAAGGGGATTTGACGGTGAGCGGGATTGAGAAGATAGCTATATCTCTCAGAGCCTGAAAAGACCATGAAAGCGCAATACAATAAATGTATGTAGGCAGTTAATAGTCCCAGAGCGCTAGTGAGAATGCGCGTAAATTCCACGAAGAGAAGTGGGGCCAGTCAAGGAAGTATAAAAGTGCACGGGTGAAATGGTGCAGGAGGTGGATGAGATAATGGGTAGATTTTGACGGTGTTGGAAGGCGGAAAAAGAGTCCAGGAGGATGGATGAGGGCGAGAAGAAGAATATAAAGTCGACGGAGCATGACCATGACTATGACAAGATGACTCCCAGCGGTGCAAGTGACGTTCACTGCCGAGGGCGAGAGTGACGTGACGACTTGCGTACGAGAGACTCCCGCGGGTTTCCACTCTTATCGATAAGGCCCACTCGGGCTTAGTGTCAGGGTCTTAGACCTGTTCGGTTGCATTGACCTCGTCCTCGATGATGATGAGAGCGACAATCTCTGTAGTCTGTATGCCTGGAGTGTGTTCTCGGTGCCTGTGTACTCGTACTCTGTGCCACCATCCACGGGGTTCCTGGGAGCAGATTGACCCCCTTCGTATTGCCTCAGTCGAGTCCGAGTCATCCGATAGACAACATGCCGCCTGCTGACAGGGTCCACAGTGGCTAATAATCTGAGTTCATCGGCAGACACAAGATGCACAGTACGTACACTGTCTAGTGTCTACACCGGAGCACACCTTAACATGTGCCTCCATCCAGGATTCTTGCGCATCCTTCTTATCCTTCTTCTTCTTTCTTGCCATAAGACCCCCCAACACTGATTATTGAAGGTCTCCGGGACCCCTAGATTTAAGCTTAACGCTTAGTATAGTCATAGCGTTGATAGCGTTTTTCTCCTAGTCAGATTAGTACAAGACTCGGCAACCTTCCCAACTTCCCACGCTCGTCCCAAGAGCCGTTGCCGTGTCCACTTTTTCTTAGGTCTACCAACAGTCCAGCACCCACTGGAACGTCATGGATCAACATCCAACACAAAATCTCTGCGATCTTCGCTGCCCACCACGAGTTCTCGCCCAAATTTCCAAAGTGATGTCATCCGATAGCCCCGCTCTCGGAGTTGAGAAGGAAAGAGAGGGACTCTTGGGCAAGTTCAATTGGTAACTTGGTCCATTTGATGTGGTTCACGGAGAGCTGCTTTGACCTCCTATACGCATTGAAAACCCAGGACACAATATTCGCCTGTGCATGTGCCACCATCTATCAGATCCGGTATGCACTCCGCAATGGTGGACGCAAGGTCGAAAGCGTGAGAGTCGGACTACTCCAGAGTGGAGATCCCTGGCTGTCAATATTGCTGGAAATCGGCGTCCGAATTATTGAAATCCCAGATCAATACGAGCGAGTGCATCCGACCTGTAAATCTCCGAGGCGAAGGGACGCTATTTCCAGCGTGGGACAAGTCGGACCATCAACTCCGCGGGGGCTTGGCGCGACCGTAAGAATACCGCGGAATACCAGTCCTCCTTTCTCACGGTCTTCCGTAGTAGTTCCTCCTAGTTCAGCAACCGATGGCTCTGGTGCAGTACTCGGATTCCGAATCAGAAGAGGAGTCTCCTCCTAGACCTATCAAGAAACATTGTCCGGCGCCCACACCACCTGCCTCGTCGCTCCCCCCGCTACCCAAGACATTCCACGATCTCTACGCCGCGAGTACTCGTGTCAGCGTAAAAGACGACCCTAGTCTCCATGGAGGTCGGAAGCGAGTGATCCCTCATATCGAAGGGAACTGGCCCACGCACCTCTATCTCGAATGTATAGTGTCATCATTCCCACTTGGTGCTTTATCCCGCTGACCCGAAACAGGGTTCCCTTCCAAAGACGAACTCGCCGTTTTGCGCGACATCCTCAGTCAGTGCGAAGTCAGGCTAAGAAAAAGCAATATAGACCTCCAGAGTCTATTGCAAAGTGATCTGGGCGCCCAACTTCCGCTCCACATCAGCCTGTCACGACCGGTCGTGCTGCGAACGGAGCAGAAGCAGCCATTCCTGGAGACGTTCACTGCCGCTCTCCAGGACTCCCACATATCAGCGTGAGTGGCGCAGCATCTTCCATATGACAGGGCGCAGCAATCTCATTCAGCCTCAGATTTGACGTCGTCGCCGACAGCCTTCATTGCGTCTCCAATTACGAAAGGACGCGCTGGTTCTATGTTTTGCGCGTGAGACGGCCTGAACACGACGGTCTCAATCGTCTCCTCGGGATCGCAAATCGGTGCCTGGCGCAATACGGCCAGCCCCCTCTATACGAGCCTCCGTCTAGACCAGACGCCGACCGGGAGTCTAGAAGGTCTGGGAAAGCTGCGCACAAAGGGGTAGCTCAACAGTCTCAGACGAGCGACTATTCTGAATGTTTCCACATCTCTCTGGCGTGGAGCCTGACTGGTCCCTCTTCCGAAGACCACGACCAGATCGCACAGATAGATCTTCGACGAATGGCTGGTCTTCGGATTCCTTTTGATTGCGTGAAAGCAAAGCTCGGAAATCAAATCACCAGCATCCCATTGTCGACTGGAATCTTCGGCCAGCGAGAATGAGAATTGAGCACATGACATGATACCAGATAGAACGTTGTTGTAATTTTAAGTTTGCATATTGTACTTTCGTACAATAACACTTTCATGCAAATAGTTATAGTCTAATTCTCAAACCCCTACCAAGTAAAAGTATAATCCTTCCCAAAATGCCTAAAGGAAACTTCCTTTAAATCCCTTACTTTGCAGGATCTTATCAAGGTTCAATTATTGTGCATAGAAGCTGTTACTGGCTGGGCTGTATTGCCCTGGTAAGATTACCCATCCCTGTCGCGCTAATCTGATCCCGATAATCACGCGCTTTGCACCAAACAAGAGCCTCCTCCCTAGCTTTCTCAGGTTTCTCAGGGCACCACCTCCTCCCGCAAGAAGAAGATTTCTCTCTCTCTCTCTCGCCGAGCGTCTTTTCAACATGCCTGATCTTCAGATCCCGAATGTAACAATAGTGAGTTCAAGATCTCCCAACCAACTCATTCTCCACTCAACAAACACCCCCTAACGTTTTCGCGTCCTCGCTAGGAAGACCTTCAAACTTTCCAAGCCCAACACTTCCCCGGTAGCGCCCAGATCCCAACCACCCAGTACCAGTACCGGCACGATGAAACCGTAGACGAGCACCTCGACGGCGGAAATGCCTACGACGAAGACGACCTCGGGTACTACCCCGATGGAGTGAAGCGGACATTGACGGACGAGCAAATCAAGATCTTCAGACATAGCGAGATCCATACGCTTCTTCGCGAAAAGCAGCTGCGCGAGGAGGCTCTTCTTGAGGAGGCGCGGGAGAAAGCCGAGGTGGAAGAGGAGGCGATCAAATCGCGCAAGGAGGCTATCCCTGAGACTGTTGATAAAGAGCCTACGAATCATCCCAAGCGCGCTGAGGGCGAGGTTGAGGATTCAGTGCTGGATTACGGTGAGGATGCTTCTGTTGGGAATGTGCGGAAACCGGCCCGGCCGGGGTATGCGTCTCAGTTTACAGGACGGAGGATCATCTCGTATGATGATTGAGAGGTTCCGTTGGGTGTCTTTTTGACGGACCTCGAGAATAGCACCGGCACGTTGCTGGGTTAGAAGGAGCTCCTATTCCTATCCAAGGTTTGACTTTTAAAAGGCGGGGATGCCTCGGTTAATTTATCGTGTCATATCCATATATGGTAAGTCTTGTCATATCTCTATCAGCCCTCATGATGAAACTTTTCGTATCAGTCATCCTTAGTCGGAGCGCCATACCATTCCACGTGAATGTGTAAGGCTATGACGACTGAAATCTTCTCTCTGAACTGGGCCCTTTTCCACCGAATCTAGTCCTCCTTCCCGTGATGGCAGTCTGCTAACATCACATCTCTAGCATAGGATGGCGCATGGCCCCGTAGAGATCAGAGACTCTCATTCTAGCGAGACAGACCTCTTCTTGGGAACCACGGCCCAAAGCAAACCGATCCCAATAAGCAAACCCACCATGATGGGCTGCAAGACCTGAACGCCAGCCTTTGAGGCGATGGCACCGGTCATGAACGGGAACGCAGCAGCCCCGGCTTGGCCCAAGCTGGCGGTGAAACCTGCAACATGATTAGCCAGACGCAATCGACTTTACCAAATAGACTTGACGAACCGATTGCCCCGATATGAAGCTCCTGCGGAAGGACCTCCGTGAGAACATACAATCCGACCGGGTAGAACGGTCCAATGAAGAAACCTATATGTTCAAACAGAAATTCCGTTAGACGAGGTGGTGATTCGTCGATCAATGTCAACTGTTTCGACAACATACCTAAAAAGCAAATCGTAACCGCGTTCACCGGGATACTGGGTATCAGCCAGAACAACAGTTGCATGGCCAGAGCCAGTATGGTGTAGATAAACACCATCCGTCGTTCTCCGAACTTGTGCGTGATGTCGGCCAGAACCACTCGACCGACTGTAAACCCGGTCCAAAAGCCCGAGGCAACGTAGCCCATTTTATCCAAATCTCCATGTCGAACCGTCACGAGGAACTGCACCAGCCAACCTATCACCAGCATTAGCCCGGTTATCACACCCCATCAAATCAGAAAGCCAAGAGAAGAGGGGGGAAAGAAAAAGAAAACCTACCCCCAGACGCCACCTCCGCACCGGCATACAAAAAGAAAAACCCATTCAAAATCCAAACCGCCTTATTGCGCACCACAGCCCGCAACTCCCCATCAGCCGTATCCTTCGCGGACGCGACATTCGGCGCAAACAACCCCTTCCGGAACGTCCACACCAACAACCCAACATTCACGATGCCCAGCGTCATCGTCACAAGGTAATAATGATGCCACTCGGGGGTCCGCGACGCGATCGCACTCGCGATCAACGGCGCGATGATCGTGCCCCCACCATACACGGCATGGAGGATACCGAGCCAGCGGTGCGCGTTCTTGACTGTGATGGTGAACGCATTCGCCTGGGCGTCTTGGAACGCGACGCCCATGCCGGTGAGGAAGAAGGCGCCTATGAAGACCGGGAAGGGGGGATGCCACCACATCAGAGCGTAGCCGAGACATTGGATTACCGCGCCGAGGACGAGCGTCCCGCCGGTGCCGATGCGCGCGCAGACGTGGATGTTCGCGAAGCAGGCGGTTACCCAGCCGGTGAAGTTCACCAGGTAGACGAAGGAGACGGTTAGGAGGTCGATATTGTAGGTTGGTTGCATGTAGGGGATTAGGACGCCGGTGGCGGCATCTGTTTTAACATCAACCCCATCGTCAGTGTGTGTTTGTGTTGTATTAGGTATAGACATCGAATGTCGAACAGAGAAAGGAGGGAGAGAGGGAGGACTCAGGTAAACATACCGTTCATTCCAGCGCACAAGACCGCGATGTTCGTACTGATGATCTTGCCTAGCACCTGGCTTGCTTCTTTCTGATCGAAGAATCTTTCCTCTTCTCCTTCCTCTTCCTCGTCTGGCTTCGCCGCTATCGCAGGAGACTCCGCATCTTGCGGAATCGTCCCATAGTTGACTTCCCTAGCCATAGTAGAGTCGTAAGTAGGTAGTCTTGCCCGTTGACAATGATCGACAATCCAATATCGATCGAATAGTATAGTATAATATAAATATAATATCGGCAGTAAGTATAATATAATATGAAATGATGTAATATACCAAAAAACTACACAAAGAGAACCAGAACTTCTTCAACCATCGGACGAGAGGAAGTTGCCAATTCTAATTTAGTACAGAACAGAACCAAAGAAACCAACTCCGCGGGAAGGGAAGAAAAAGCAGAGACAAAGGAATAAATATATACTTCTCTTTGCGCCCCGCACCAAACAGGAAAGAGACGGGGCACTAAAATGTAAAATCCCCATCGCGTGAGACCGAAGACGGTGAGACATACTCCGTTCACACCACACCGACTCGAGTGCTCCGTAAGCAGCTCCTAGCTAGGTAGCTAGTAGCTCAGAGTAGTGGAGGGGTAAAAGTGGGATGCAGGCAGGCAGAACGTGAGGGTTTAAAAAAATGGGGTGGTCCAAGCGAAACACCAGCCTTGGCTCGCTCGCTTGCAGCGGCAGGTCTAACAATCCTCAATCCTCCTCAACCCGGTGCTCTGATTTGGTTTGGTTCACTCACATTAATGTTGTAGGGAGGAGGGTTGCATTGCATTGATCGACCTGCTGACTTTTCTTTCGTTTTTGCTTCCTTGATAAGCAACGTTAGTGTGGGGTTTTGCAATCGTCAGGTTGTTCAACTGTGTAACTGACTAACTTGATATACCTACTGGGTATATCGTTGAGCCCTAATATGCGGCTTTTGTGTACGGAGTATAGACTCTGCATTATCCTCGCTCCTCCTAGACGAGTGGAAGAATAAACATCTCAGCCCGGTCTGCGGAGACGTACTCCACAGCCCGCATTGGCATTATGGGGTTCTCCAGGATCCGGCAAAATGTCGGCTATTTAGCGGCTCGGATCCCGTCTTCTCCGACAGGAGCTGGAGAGTCATGTTCGTTTCTTTGTTCCACCCTGAATGACTTCTAAGTCAACCGATGGGTAGGTAAGGGCGAAATTATCTGGTGAGTACACAGTAGTTATATTGATATCGGCGAATAGATAAGAACTGTGTATGTAAGGGGGGCGGGGAAACGGTTGTTGATATAGCTGGTTATCTGGACCGCGTCAGTCAGTACTCCACATTCCGGCGGGTTTTGGGAAGAAAAGGTACGAGTTGTACGGAGGCTAATAATGGAGAGCTTGAAATGGATGTGTCTTTCGGTTCAGCTTGTGTTGTCTCGTCTGTAGCTCAAGGAAGCGATCGCTGGACTCTGTTGTGTAGACGTTTGAGGTGCGAGGTAGCTATCGCGGGGGTAAGCAGAATGATTGCATACAGAAGATGTAGATGTCCGAATCAAATGACTTATAGCTCAATTGATTGAATGAATGATTGTTGGAGGAAGAAAGGTCCATCCAAGTGTCCTGGAGGATGTCAGCAAACGGCGAAATGCTTGGCAGGTACCTCAGGCATGTAGAACACTCATATATTGTTCAGGACAATCTGATTAACAATCTGACTATCAGGCCAAAGATCAAGCTCCTCGGCGATTGGTGTTGGTACCTACTTGTATACAACGAATCCTGCTAGCGAATTAGACCGAAAGAAGAACAAGCTAAAACATTCCATTGATCAAGCCAAGTTTGTTGAATATACAGCAGAATTCTTGACTAGCTGGTACTAAGAACCTGCGATGGAAACCCAAAGGATATTTTCACGCCGAAGGATCTTCACTTGTAGTCTTGCTGAATCAAATATCTCAAGTATGGTGAAGAAGTCTTACGGCGCTCGGTGCGCATCCTCCGAAAGAGCCTTACTGAGCTCTTTTCGCTCGACGCAATTCTTAAAAGCAAACGACGCAGCCAACTCCTCGAGCTAATCCTCCGATTTGACCTTGAACAATTCCGCATATTCCCACTTAAGGTACTCACTAAGCAGACACTCCCTCACGGCCCGCTCAACCTGACGCTCGAACGTCCACGTAGGTGGATATTTCTTGCCATGGAGATGTTGCGGAACCATCTTCTTCAAACCGTCAAGGAAGGGCCGATACACATCACAAACACCCTCCTTGTCAGTGCAGCCCCAAAAATCGACGCCCAGACGCTGTTTCTTGGAAACGAAGTCCCCGACCAGTCTCATATATGGAGAATCCGGACTCACGTATATCATCCCCTGATAGCCAATGTCTTTGAGGAGCCAAATGTTCCAACTGATTTGGCCTTCGGCGTATAGGCTCAGCTGCTCTTTCAGGAGCTTGATTCGGCTGTCTACGATGTCTTGCACATTGCCCGGCTGTCTGGGATCCGGATAGATGGGGCCCCATTCGCCATTCCGCACTGGAACATTCCAGTCACGCATGAACTTGATCTTTCGCTCTAGCTGGGACTTCAACTTGGCCTTTGCGTCCGATGTGCCACTGTATAAAGGTCTGCCGGGAATCGGGAAACCCATGGTGGAATAGTCATGACAGGAGTACACGGCATTTGGAATGACTCGGTCAAAATGAGAGAAGTCCATCGCGTAGGTGTTTCCGTCTAGGAACAGGATGTGGTCGAGATCGACTTCTCGGATCGCAGTGCTGGCTCGATCGTACCATTGCAACAAGCCGACATGGCATGGATCAGCGGGTTCGTTGAGCGGGTTGCACCCCGCGATGATGGGATCATTGGCATAGTGCTTTGCGATGGCCACCCAGAGGTCAATGATCTGGTCTTGAAGAGTTTGAAATCCCAGAACATGGCACGTGGGAGACCACTGTCACAGTGCCAGTCCTGATTTTGGCCACCGGGAACAGCATGCAGGTCTAAAATCACCCACAAATTGTATTTCCGGCAGATCCCCACCACCCGATCCAGCAGGTCGAAACCGAACTGTTTGAAGACACCGGGGTTGGCTTTATCATCGATGAAATGACGGTAGTTGAACGAAACACGGATGCAATTCAAGCCCAAAGAGGCGAAATATCTGGCATCGTCTTCCGTGAAAAAGTGATGGAGCAGACGATCGAAGAAGAACTGCGCCTTTTGTTTTCCCAGTACCTCCTCCATAGCTCGACGATGCTCGTGCTCGTGCCCCGGATACCCTGTGATGAAGTTTTCCATGTTGAGAAAGCCAGCAATCGCGGCGCCCTTCAGGAGGACCCGGCGACCCTGAGGATCCACGATGTCGGGGCCCGAAGTGTGTAACATGGGACGAGTCTCCCCATTTTGAAGATCAGAAGACATTATGTGCTGGAGAATATTGGTGGTTTGTTAAGATTATAGAGGTTCGATAACAACCAACGAAAAGGAATGTGCTGAGGTACAAATCAATCGAGATAATTGTCCTCTTTAAATAACCAAATAGGATCCATCTCGTGCCCCTCAGTCCTCTCTTAGCTGTCCAACTTCCTTATGATTTCATATAAGCGTGATCGCAGACCAAAGGAGACATCTCGAAGGGAGGAGGACCCCATGTATGTGGGCACGCAATGCACCCTGAAGGCAATAACTGGGATTCGATTGGATGTTTCATTCTGCGATATTGGGCGACTGCCAAGTCGGATGTTCCGAGTCAAAGAACAAGGAGGCTACCTACGTATGTCAACAATTCTCGGCTTTCTTCCATCCGGCTTCGAGGATTTTAGCCAAATACGCACTATCCACCGATATATCCTTCCAATAAAGGGTCATTTCCAGCGCCAAGGAAACGCCCTCGCGCCTCCCAACAGGCATCGCAACGCCTGGATCAATCTGTCTATCTAACTGGGATCGAATCGAAAGCGCCGCGTCAATCAGAATCAATGCGCTCCGTGAGCAGTTGCGGAGTAAGAAAAGGGTTCCATGATGGCGGTGTTTGTATCCCGGTCGATTGACCCAAAGCCGTTCCATGTGCTTTTGCAGCCCTTTCCTCGCAAGGCTGCGCACGAGGTACTGGTCTTCATCCACGATGCGTTCGGTGATGAGGGCGTCTACAAAGGGCCAGTATATGACCTCCTGGAGATTGAGCAGGTGTCCGCGCAATACAAAATGACACACCCCGTCTGCCTCCGGAGGACCTTCCATTGATATCATCTAAGGAAGCCGAAGCGTCCAGTCTTCTCCCTGAGATTCGTACATACACGTAGCGTGAAACTGTTTGCGAACCTGCATTTCGTGTGGGGGGTTTGTGTGTCAGCATCTTGTCGGTATCATCTTTGTCTTGGGATATTCCACCTACTTTTTTGAACTGGCCGGACTGGAGCCTTCTCACTCCTTCGACCTTGGAGTCGGTGTCACTGCGTGCGGTGTATTTGGAAACTTCCTGAGTTGGCTCATCCCTAACTCCTTCGGTCGTCGCCGGATGTTCGTTTCGGGCATGTCAATTCTTACTGCCATACTGCTCTTAATTGGCATCATGGACGTCGTTCCATCTGATGCCGCGAACTGGGTACAGGCGGCTTGCATTGTGGTATACGCCTTCATCTACTTTGCGACCATCGGCGCCATCTCCTTTGTGTTGCTTGGCGAGGTGTCGACTCCCCAGCTGCGAGCAAGAACAACGGCCCTGGCAACTGCCGTTCAAGCTGTCTTCGGTATCTTCATGAACGTCGTCATCCCTTACATGGTCAACCCCGATGAAGCGAACATGAAGGGTAAGGTGGGCTTTGTCTTCGGGGGCTGCGCAGCCGTAGCGACAGCGATGAGTTGGATCTATATCCCCGAGCTCAAGGGTCGCACATTTGAGGAATCGACATTATGTTCGCCCGACGTGTGCCCCCACGCCACATGGGCTCGTACGAGCTCCTTTCGTGATTATTCAAGACCCACGGCTTAGGGAAGGAACGGAAACCATGACAGCAGCCCTCGCTGTGCTTTTGTCCACGTGGGATCTGGGTTTTGTACAGGGACATAATGTCAGACATTGGGTTCCAAGAGCAAATCAAATGAGATAAAGAAAGGAATAGGAGAATTCGGCTCCCATAACGCCCACTTCTTGAATTTCAAAGTAGATACGATCACGTCATAGATCAATTTCCCTTAATACAGCTGTCGTAGTGGCCAACATGACGGAGCAAAAAGGCCACCAGGCCTTACCTAGTAGGTATGTAAGGGACTGGGCGTGTCTGGTTGTAGCTCAGGAACAACTCGGGCGGATCAGATCGACAGCTGCAGGCGAACCCGATAGACCAGCAGATTGCTCCGAGAAGGCCGTCGCTAGACGAGCGGACGATGTATGCAGCCCCCATGGGCGGCAGGAACAGGATATTTGAAATACCCGGGTCGTGATTCCCTTTGCATCCCCGGACGGAGATGCACCAGTGTCAAACACAAATCCGTGACTAATGAGAATTACTCCAGACCGACGATCTCAGGGGGCAGCTCGAGCTTATTTGGGCCATCTCCATAATAATTTGGTAATGGAATGATGCGTCGCCCAGTCGTGGCGTTTCTGGTGACTAAGTGTCCACTTCTTCTCTCCAGTCTCTCCAGGCTCCGGTTGAGAAAGACCCAGCTGGGGTAGTAAAGTCTGGGGTGGAATCTGGGGTTCAGTTTGATAACGATGTCGTTGTTGACGTTGTTGGATGAAGATGCATGGGATGAGAGCGGAGGAAGGGGCAGTCCGCCGGCTTGGCGGGAGGCACCAACCCGATGATCTGTCCGCGGTTCCCGTGGGAGGTTACACTCTATGAGCTCATGGATGTTGCTGATCGTAACGCGTCGGGCCTCTTATCTGTCATCAATTCATGACAAACGGCGGTCTCTATCTGATAGTTATCTCCTTCCCTTATTCAAATGAATGAGGCTGGCCATTGCGCATCTCCACCCGGGTTCTACCTGCTGTGGCAATGAAAATGGGTCTTGATAACTGAGCCCTCCTGCTTTCACAGCGTTCCCAGCAGCAGTGTACCAAGGTCAAACAGCCTAGTGAAGTTCACGAGCAAATATTCGGCAGATCGACACGTACACCATGTCTATACTATGGCGGATGAAGCTAGGTCGCCTCGGCCAGGGCAGCGCTCCTTCACGCCATTTATGCTACCTCGACCGGCCCGGCGGAGCATGCGAGTAAGCAGGGACGGTTCAATTCGGTTTAGACTCGTGGTATAGCGTCTTGGGTCCGGGACCAAGTAGGAGATAAGAGATTTGGCCGCTCTGCTCGCCACCAACCAGCGCGCCATACTGGAGCTTAATTAAGCCGACATGCTGTCCTGGCTGTGCTGCCGATCATACTCTGCAGAATTGGATGTATTAGGTCACTGAATTCTCAAAGAATTACTGTCGGTAGGATGCGCCACCCACGCCCGTCGACTTGACGGCCGGTCCGTTCAAATGATTGCAACGGCGCCAATTGTTAATGTCAGACATATTGATTGGCCTAGTCTGGGCTAGACTTTCTATCCGTCTTCTTCCCCAGTTCCACAATGGATCTCGGTAGGCTGTGACAGCCTGCTTCGTGGTTTCTGTTACGTCGCATAATCGTGATTCGTTTGCCCCGGTCCGACTTGGGCTCATCGGCCCACTGGCACCACGCGATCTTCACTGGTCATAGACCGAGGACAAGACGTTGGTTGCGGAGCAGACGCAGCAGTAGAAGGCAGCCACAAGCTCTCCAAAAGAGGCAGGAGGAAACGCTCCTCTCGTGTCCGGTGCGCGGTTTTCTGCCCTTTTCTCTTTAGTGTGCAGGTCGTCAAGCGGCTGCTCTCTGTACTTCTCCTCTTATAGCCGGAGCATTCGGGGTCTTCTGTTATTCTACCTCCCAGGAACAGGTTTTCTTGTTCTCCTCCCTGTTCTTTTTTTATTTCTCTCTGTTACTCGGGCATTTGTCCTCCAGGTCTTTTCATAATGAGTCCACCTCAGATCGTCTCGATTCCCTCGAATACCCTCGACCTCGAGGATGTTAAGCAAAAAGATCTGCCGGCAGACCAAGCATCCATTGGCATGGATGAGAAAAAACAGGCCACGCCTCCCTACATGCAAGATGCCTTTGGTGACGAGGAATTTGCGGAGGTCAAATACAAGGTCCTGAAGTGGTGGTATGTAGGAATTAGCGGTCTCAATTGAGCATTGGGAAAATTTGTCATTGACCTCTGTCCTATTTTTCCAGGCAATGTGGTCTGCTTATGGTAGCTGAAACGGTCTCACTTGGTGTTCTGTCGCTGCCCGCTGCTGTGGCCGGGCTTGGCTTAGTTCCGTACGTATAGCTTCATGTTGTCGATCAACCGCGTGCCTGCTAGCTAACATAAAGCAGCGCCATCATCATTCTTGTCGCTCTGGGTATTCTGGCGACGTATACGGGATATGTGATCGGACAGTTCAAATGGAAGTATCCACATATTTCAAACATGGCTGATGCCGGCGAGGTGCTTGCCGGCAAGTTTGGTCGAGAACTGCTGGGAATTGGCCAAATGCTATTCTTGGTTTTCATCATGGCCAGCCACCTGCTTACCTTCACCATTGCCATGAACACCATCACAAACCATGGAACATGTTCCATTGTCTTCGGCGTGGTTGGCATGATCGTTTCTTTTATTCTGTCTCTACCTCGTACCTTGGCGAAGATGTCATGGCTGTCACTAGTTTGTATGCTTTCTCCTTCCCATCTTTCAGTTGCTTGGTTATATGCTAACACCAATCATCTAGCTTTCGTCAGCATCCTTTCAGTCGTGTTCATTGCCATGATTGGCATAGGCATCTTGCATCCTGGAGATCGAGTCGATGCTATTGTCCACACAGGTTTCGCTAGCGGGTTTACCGCTGTGACCAATATCGTCTTTGCTTTCTGTAAGACTTCGTCTCAATCTAGCCTGCAAAGGTATGAAGTCGCTAACCATATTAGCCGGTCACGCTGCTTTCTTCGGTTTTGCCGCCGAACTCCAAGATCCACGCGACTTCCCCAAAGCCTTGTGTCTGCTCCAGGGGGTCGATATTTCCCTGTACATCATTGCCGCCGTTGTGATTTACCGCTTCGGTGGTGCCGACGTTGCCTCTCCTGCCCTGGGTTCAGCTAGCCCAGTTGTGTCCAAAATAGCCTATGGCATCGCTTTACCCACCGTATGCACCTCCCTTCTCCTACGTCCTACATATCGCGATATCTTCTAACCTCCGAACCAGATTATCATCGCCGGCGTCATCAACGGCCACATCGCCTTCAAGTACGTCTACATCCGCATTTTCCGCGGTACCGACCGGATGCACAAGCGCGACTGGCTCGCTATCAGCTCCTGGGTCGCCATCGCTCTGGTCCTCTGGATCCTCGCCTGGATCATCGCCGAGGCCATCCCCGTCTTCAGCAACCTGCTCAGTCTCATCACGGCCCTCTTCGCTTCCTGGTTCACCTTCGGCCTCAGTGGTATATTCTGGCTGTATATGAACAAGGGGGTCTGGTTTTCTTCGCCCAGGAAGATCCTCCTGACGGTTGTTAATATTGGTAACATAGCTGTTGGGGCTTGTTTGGTACGTTCTTCCCCCTCTTTTCTTGTTTCTCTCTCTCTCTCTCTCTCTCTCTCTCTTTTTTCTTTGTTCTTTTTTCTTTTTTCTTTCCAAAGCTGACTATGTACCTCCTTGGTTGCTGAAATAGTGCGGTCTCGGCCTGTATGTGTCGGGGAAAGCGATCCATGATAATCCCAGTAGTGCCAGCTTCTCCTGTGCGGATAACTCCTAGGAAACCTTCGCCGGGTGTACAGACCTAGGAACTACTTCACATCGCTATGTATATATGAAGGATACATGAAGAATATATGAACAACCTACTTACTAGTTATATAATCCAAAACCACATACACAACCATAACGCTATACGCCCCGGGTGGGTCTCGAGTCTCGATCTCGACTCTTTGATGAGACAAACAAGATACATGCCGAATCTAATCATTTAGTCAATCGATTGATCGAATATCTATGAATACAATTCCACCAAATGTAGACAGGAAAAATAAAACAAACCAACAATGACAAGAAAAAAGACAACGCCATGCAATGAATTGCCATCCATGCCAATAGTTAGAACACCCCGATTGAATAAACCAGTCAATGGAAACCTACCGAACAGTTCAAAGAAACAAACAGACAAAATAAAGGAAAAAACGAAAGTATAAGGATGAGAACGAGAATGACCTAGGTCCCCGGCCGACTTGCCCGCTTCATCCGTCTGCGTTTGCGTCGACACGAATCGATCGCTTCTGCGGTCAATATGTCGGCTGGGAGTTCAAACTCTCTTCCCTCTGGTTCGGGGACGGGATGCCCGAAAGCCAGTCGGACTCGACCTTTCCGATGAGTAGATAGTGCAGCGTCCCGGACGTGGCGCTTGGAAAAGAAAGAGGTGAATGGCTTGTCTGGGACAAAAATGGGGGGAGGTAATTGGGAGAGAGGCTGTGCTGTTGCTGCGACTGCAGCTGGTGTTGGTGTGGCAGCCGCGTTTGCAGCAAGTTCTAGGGGGGTGCTGTTGCTGTTGGCGGTAGTGACGTTGCTGGGTTTGGATTTCTTGCGTCCTCCCTCGCCGGCGGTGGTCGCGGACGATTTCGGTTTCTTTCCCGCTGTGGCCGATCGGGCTTCTTGATGGAGTTGGCGAGCTGCCCAGGCGTCAACGTCGTTGACATCCGGAGTCTCGCCGGAGCTAGGAGCGTCGGAGAGCAAGGTAACCGGTGATTCATCAGGATCTTCCGAGTCCTCGATCACTACGTCAGAGGAGCGACGTTTCTGGGATGTGGATGCAGACACAGAAGGGGGATGCTGCTGATGATGTTGTTGTTGTTGAGGTGTGGCATCGAGATCTTCGGCGGACTCGACGCGCAGTTTCTCCTTGTCGGCCTTGCGTCGTTTCTCCTCTTCCTTCCAGATCTTGAATTTCTGGATCAGCGCCGAAAGTTCTTTGACGAAAAAGTCGCGCTTCAACTCGTACTGTTTCTTCCCTTGGTCAGTGGCCCCGCTGATTCCCATGACCCTTAGCCAATCTTGGCCTTGTAGCTCGTCCACCAGGCGCTCCAGTTGTTGTTTCTCATGCTGCGCGCGTTCGCGCTCGATGTTCCGCAGCTGCTTTTCCTGCCGTTCATTGCGCCGGTGGGCTCGGAAGTAGGCTGCTTCGTTTAGAGGGTCCTCCTCTTCTTCACCTTCATCCTTTTCTGCATCTTGTTTGGCGTCCGAGGGCGTCTCTTTCGATTCGACCGGGGCGGGAAGAGAGATAGTCTCACAATTGTGTAGATTAAGCAACGGGTTTCCGAACGGCGATTCCGTATCAAGCGCCGGCAGCGCTGAGTAAGAGAGAGGTTCGGCAAGATCGTCGACAAGCTTAATCTTAGTCTGGCTGGCAAGAAATTCTGGTCTGGTCAGCTTTCTGCCCCTCTCTGCACATGCCGGGCCAGGTCCTACCGGGTTTTGGAGGCTCGAAGCTCAGCAACTGCTCGTAGTTCGGGAAATACAGCGCCAATTCGCTCCGCGCGCGAGAACCCCCATCATGCGAGCGGAGGGACCGCCGTTGTTGCTGCTGCGGCTGCGGCTCCGGTTGATCCGCCGACGCGGGGGGAGGCGCATCCTGAGCGATGCCGGGAGACGGCTGCGTCTGCGCAGGGGTAGGCAGATGCGACGAGGAAGCGGCGGGGGATTGGGCGGAGGGACGAGCGGTCTTCTGCATGCGACGCCGGCCGGCGGACTCTGGGGTCGGAGCCGGACGGCGCACGGACGACAGGCGGCCGGGCGAGCGAACAGGATCGGTGGTCGGAGAGATGGTGTCGAGAGGATCGGGGCTTTCGCGACCTCCACGCAGGAAGAGCGCGGTGGTCGAGGGAGTTTCGCGACGGTGGATTCGCAGATCTTTGGAGCGTGGGGTGGCAGGAGGAGGATGGGACGAGGAGGGAGAGGAGGGAGCGTTGGTGTGAAAGGAGGGCGAGGAGAGAGGGCCCGGTCGGCGCGTGGAGTGTCGCAGGGGCACGATCGGCTTTGAGGGGGAATCGTCGATGGTGGTATCGAGGAGATCGGGAGAGCTCTTACGACGGTGAGACACGGGCGCATGCAAACGAGGGCGCTTCGATGGCGGAGGAGCGACGTCTTCGTCGACGCGCAAAGTCGACCTCGATCGGACAGTCATGACGGTGGTGGAGGTCATGAGATGGAGGGAGAGATGGAGAGAGAGAGACAAGGGGGACGAGGTTGAAGAAGAGCAGAGGGAAGGGAATTGATGAATATGAGAAAGCACGAATGGTGAAGCCAAGTAGGAGAGCTCAATGGCATTCAATGGGCCGCATGTTGATTGCGGTGGTGACCGAATGCATCCATCCTGAGGCCGTTCCTTCCCTCGGAGAGAGAGACTCGAGACGTGACGTTTCCATACGGTATGGATGCCTGGTCTGTCAGGCTGCCACACAGTTCTCCGGCCGGTCTGGTGTATTGCGTACGGTGTATTTGGTATTGTGTATTCACTGCGGTACATACATCTTCCCTTGACACTCTTCTCCTTCACTCTTTCTATTCATCTTCTTCTCTCTCTCCGCAATCCCTTTTCCCATCTCCCTCGGACAATATTCCGAACCACCTGCCAATGGGAACAACGTGGGGGTGAATCCATTCTGACTTTCTCTACTCTCCATCAATCATCATTCGCTGTCAATCATCAAGAGCCTTTTCAATGGATCGTCTCCCCTCCTTCTGTGGGGTGCGTGGGGGTGGGATGCGGCCTTGGATCATCTGCATCACGGCCAATTCTGCTTCCTGGGGCCTGTGATCGATGCGCAATTGGAGACCCCTCTCCTTGGGACCACTTTCCTCGTCGGTCTCCTCATGTTTCTTCCTGGTCTTTAATTCAGCCCTCTTCCCCTTCATCCTCTCCCCCTCCGTCATTTCGTCTCCTTCACTCGCATCCTACTGCGTATCACCACCTCTCATCCATCTCCACTCCACTCGAGTCAGTTACGTCCCCGGACCAACTCCGCATCTTCCTTTCGTCCTTCGTCCCATCACTAACGTCTGGACGACTTGCTAGGCTTCTGTTCTATCCTCAATCATGGCTATTAACGGCTCGACGGCACCGCGCCCCTTAACCCCCGGTGTCTACGTGCCCACGGTCGCCTTCTTCGCCGGCCCCGACGAGGACGTAGATGTCCCCACAGTCGAGAAACATGCTGCCTACCTCGCTCAGTCCGGAGTCACCGGTCTGGTGGTGCAGGGGAGCAACGGTGAAGCCGTTCACTTGGAACGCGACGAGCGAAATGTCATCACGGCCGCCACTCGTCGAGCTCTAAATGCTCAGGGTGCCTCGACAATGCCACTTATTGTCGGCTGTGGTGCCTCGTCCACGCGAGAGACTATCCACTTCTGCACCGATGCCGCTAAGGCCGGCGGTGACTATGCTCTGGTGCTACCACCGTGCTACTACAAGGGTCTGGTCGATGGCGAGAGCCTCCGCGAGCATTTCCGCGCCGTGGCTACTGCGTCGCCCATCCCCGTGCTCATATATAACTTCCCCGGTGCGTCGTCGGGTCTGGACCTCAGCTCCGACGACATCCTGGCCTTGTCGCAACATCCCAATATTGTCGGGGTGAAGCTGACGTGTGGCAACACCGGGAAGCTGGCTCGTATCGCGGCCCAGGCCAAACCCGAGTTTCTAACCTTCGGCGGATCCGCTGACTTCACGCTTCAGACCCTCATCGCCGGTGGGGCGGGCATCATCGGCGGAGTCGCCAATCTGATCCCTCGCGCCTGCGTGCAGGTCATGGAGCTGTACCGCGCGGGCCGGGTGGAAGAAGCCCAGCGGCTGCAAGCAATTGTGGCCCGAGCCGACTGGCATGCAATCAAGGGAGGGTTCGTGGCTGTCAAGAGCGCGCTACAGAGCTACCGGGGATACGGAGCACAGCCCCGACGGCCTTGCGTGGTCCCGTCGGCGGAGGAGCGGTTGGCATTGCAGGAAGCTTTCAAGGAAGGGATCGAGCTTGAACGGAAATTGGAAAAGGCGTGAATCCAGTGTATAGAATCAACTTGGATTGTGTTTCCTCTCTTTTCCTTGACATGAAATTAATGATTTTTGGTAGCTTCAATGGCTTGAAGACGCGACTCACTTGCGCCATTTTTTCCGTTGCTTCTCCTCCGCTAATGTTCCTAGCCGGGCCATATTTTTAGAACATGAGGTATCAAACAGACGTACAGCTTGGTCCATTTGGCAACCTATACCCAAGCAAGCATGACTTATCGCAATGCGGCCCGGTTCAGGGACGTGTCTTTCCCCAGGTCACACACACCACACCGGCGAACCACCTCTATGCAGTGCTACACCGATACGTTCCACTGACAACGCTCGGATTGCGGACTGAAATAACGAATTGGATGCCAGGGCGCCGATTCATACTCTCCAACGGCATGGGATGTAAGATCGATTGTGAGATGGGCGACTTTCCCGCTCTTTCTGTGATACAGAGTTTCCTTGTTGCGGATCGACCCCTTTTCTGCCGCATCAAATAACTTTTGACAGTCAGGACGCAAAGCTTAACCTGACCCAGATCCGGAGAGTCTCTCTCGGTCTCCGCCATTGCTCTTGGCCGACTTTCCTCGGAGACAATTTTCTACCCTATGGGGTGCAGGATGGAATCGTCGTTCTGTCGGGCATGGCGATAGATTGAATGTGCATTGACTGGCATCTGATCGGTAGAATTGTCGTGGCCAGTTATCAGTGTACGGAGTACGGAGTACTTGTATCCTACCGGCGGTGGCCATGAGAGCGGGATACGAGGCGCTTCCGCTATTCAATTATTGGTGATTGGCGGAAGCGGGGGAGAGGATACCATTGATGTATCAACGTCGGATGCTTTTTTAGCTTGACTTTATTGGCTAGGTTTTATCGGGAGAGACGGTGCATATTGAAGTATGTACAGGATAAGTGGGGGATGTTGAAATGTTGAGATGCGAGGTGTTACACAACTATGCGGGATTTCTGGAGGGATCAATTCGTCGGTTCTATCTGACTGCTTCATTACAAGTGGGATTTGCCTCGACAAAAGCTGGTCGGTTCATGGAGGGCTCCTTTTGGTAGTGTCTTGCGGCGAGGCGGGCGAAGCAATGGCTGATGTTCGGTTCGTAACTAATGGATATACAGTATATCATTCGTCGGTCCCTTGCAGCAAACAAGAAAACGAAATAGGGGGTGGAAAGAAAAGACGTGGGAGAAAAATGAGAAAAGGCAAAAAGAAGTCCTGCATCGGATACAGGACGTTGGCTGTGTGCTCCGACCTGCAGTCGTACAGTGGTGGTCGACATTAACATGTCGTTGGTACCGGGTACATGCTGGACCAAGCAAACTCGCGCTGGCCGAGGCGTACCGATGACCTGCGGCATCGGGGAATGTTTGCTGTTCCGCCGATCCGCCCAGACCCGGCAATGATCGCTGGACGTCCCAAATGGGGAAAGCAGCTTATCGATAGCGGCAGTCACGGGGCATCAATAACGGCTTTCCAAGTTTCAATACTTTCTTCGTCTCCTTGGGCTTCCGCTTCCTTTCCTCCGATCCATCTCTGGCTTCCTCTGGCTCGTCTCCTCCCCGCCCTTCCGTCGCTTCTTTGCGCATTGCTCCGCTCCCACCGGTCTGGCCCTCTACCGAGATCCTGGAGATCTTGGAAGCGGTCTGTTCCCCACTGCAAGGGATGGCAGCCCAATGGATGACGATAACGACTCGATATGAGATCTGTCACTCGTGGCGTCAATGATCAGTGTCCAGACAATGAAGCCCGCTCACTGTGTTGCATCCGAATCCGTGTAAACTTTTCCCGCTTTTCTATAGATCTGGACAACCCGTTTCTTCTATGTGCATTCATGCGTGATACCGCTGCATGATGCCTCATACCTCGATTTATTTTTCCTGGCTTGCATGCAGCAATAGTCATGCGGGTCCCAGGAGCGGGCTATTCCCATCTCTCTCACCTCTCTTTTCTCTTTTCTCTTTTCTCTTTTTCTTTTGCCTTTGTTCCCTATTGGGATCCACTCTGGCTCGTACCACCAAGCTACTTCCAAGCTTTTTAAAGCCCCTCGGATCCATGGAATTTCGTTGAACAACCCAGTCAAGAATCTCCATCTTTCGGATCCCTCGGGTACGGCTTCTTATTCCCCCCAGTGCCGCGTCTAGAGTATTTCATCTCCAAAGCCGGCAGCTCCTAGAAGCCCTCCCTCAGCAACCATGGCAAGAACTCTGATCCTGCTGAGCCTTTGGTTCCTTGCCGCCTGGGCTGGCAATTGCTCCTCCGACGTGAGGGAGAAGCGACAGGAATGGTACGTCTCCTGTGTTCGCCGGACGCCTTGCAGGCTGGCCCTGGAAAGTATAAACTGACTTCCGCCGCAGGGGAGAGCTTCCTTCGTCAACGCGCAAAAGCTATATCAAAGCCGTCAAGTGTATGCAGCAAAAGCCGGGCAAGCTGCCCACTGAGTACTACCCCGGGGCCCGCAGCCGAATGGATGACTTCACGATGTATGTCTTCTCATTAGCATATGGTAGACCTGGACAGAGGCTGATCATCTTTGCAGAACGCATATCAACAGCACACTTGGTATTCACTTTAACGGTGTTTTCCTTTCCTGGCACCGTCATTATCTCTGGCTGTGGGAACAGGCTCTCAAGGAGGAATGCGGATACGAAGGACATCAACCGTTCGTCTCCCTTATCTTGTTCACCGTATTTCAGCTTTCATTGTGATTGATGCGATCTCCTGCAGGTACTGGAACTGGGCTCAATCAGCTGGCGATCTCGGTTCTAGCCCGGAATTCGACGGCTCCCCGACTTCTCTCTCCGGCAACGGCAATCCCAGCGTGCCGTATGCCGGCAACGATCCTGCCTTGACCCAGATCTCGACTGGAGGCTGCGTAACGACAGGTCCCTTTGCGAACCTCCAAGTGCATCTTCCCGACCTAAATTCATTCGTCGGGGCGAGCTCGGTTCAACCCTCGTTCTTCAACTACGAGCCGCGATGCTTTGCCCGGTCATTCAACGACACCAGCTCCCGGCTCTGGCTCAACCAGACAGCAGTCGATCGCCTTCTCAACTCGCCTGACATTCGCACTTTCCAGTTCAATATGGATGGTCGGGACACGCCGCAGTTCCCACCGGGAGGCTTTATTGGCCCACACTCTGCCGGGCATCAGTCGCTGGGGCCCATCATGGGCGACTTCTTCTCTTCGCCCCAGGATCCGGTCTTTTTCCTTCACCACGCCATGGTGGACCGTACCTGGGCACTCTGGCAGGCCCAAGACGAGAAGACTCGACAGACGCAGCTGTACGGCACCAGCAGCATGTTCAACGCACCGACCACGCCGAATGTCACGCTGGACACGCAGCTTCACTTTGGAATTCTCAGTGAACCCAGGACGATTGGTGAGTTGAAGAGCACTCACGAGCAGGACTTCTGCTATGAGTATGCTTAGGGGCGGTGGCCGATTCGGCGAGTAATGGGAGATGGGATGGTTGGTGCTTCCCTTGGTTCTTCCCTGGACTTTCATAATATATTGTTTAATGTGTATAAATGGAGGATTTTGGATGGTACCGGATATACGTAATGTGTTTTTATTTTTTCATATTTTTCTCTCTTTTTTCTTGGGACTGTTGATGTGGATCATGAGAGAACCTAGACCGGTTTGAGGATGATCACGCGTTGAGTAAAGGTGCTGCGGGACTGCATAATTTTGCATCATCTGTTCGTTTTGGTTCTCTTCTCAGGAAACCTTGTCTTGGAGTAATCATTTTGGAATATGAATTCTTAATTTCGTCAGTGGCGGATGAAACCGTGGGACTGTCGTCTCGGACCATCCCGAATTTCCTCGCGCTTCCCCGCATCTCCGCAAAATTGACGGACTGCTGAGCCAAGGCAGTTGACACGAGTCCATCTGATCGCTCGAGGCAATCTCCGTCAATAAATGACAGGATGAAGCGAAGACCTGGAGTGAAACAGTCTCATCGGCCGCGTCGACGGCTTCACGTCCGCAATGTCACCGTCCCGTTGGCGCAGGGGATGTAACCCAGTGTGTTTGTCTGGCGGTACAGGTACCCGACGCCCGGTATAATCAGCGCGGGGGCTGAAAGTACCGATACCCGGTCCTGTGGACGCCAAGCTATCGTCGCAAATTAGAGGGTCCTGGAACTTTCCCGGAGCCTTGTTTGTGTGCGAAGGATTGTACTGCCACTCGGCTATGGAGGCAAAAATAGAGGAGGGTCCCGGTGTATGTGACTCTGCAAGTCGACAGGGTGATTAAGACTCGGCCAACGATGATCTGGAATGACGATCAGCGTTCTGCCCATTCCGCTTCCCAGCCCCATGGCAATGACTATTTATTGACGATCTTCTTCCCTTTTCGTTCCTCTCTCTGTGCTGCCTCTGAAACACTCCCTCCTTCTGTCCCTGCTTGACGCTCCCTACATTCCTTCCTTTGTTAACCTCCTTCTTTCTCGTTTCTTTTACCTTCATGTCCAGGGTTGCTCACTAGACTTGGGTCGGCTGCTAGACATGCGTATCTCCTCTCTCTGCACCGCGTTGATCGCGGTGACTGGCGTTGCTGCGGTCAAGGTCAACCCGTTGCCGGCGCCGCGTGACATCAGCTGGGGTTCGTCTGGACCCAAACATCTCGCCCGCACTCTGACCCTCCGCACAAAAGACGACACCCAGGATAACATCCTTTCCAATGCCTGGGATCGCACCTGGAAGACCATCTCCGAGTTGAAATGGGTTCCCGCCGCCGTCGAAGCTCCCATCTCGTCCTTTGCGCCCTTCCCGACCAGCACCCCCAGCAGCTCCGCCCACAAGGACAAACGCAATAACGCCCCGTCCCTTCGGTATGTTGATGTGGTCGTCGAGGATAAAAAGGCGGATCTCCAACACGGGGCCAATGAGTCCTATTCGCTGGTCGTTTGCGAGGACAAGGACAGCATCGCCATCAAGGCGCATACCGTCTGGGGTGTCTTGCATGCGTTCACCACCCTGCAGCAGCTGGTCATCTCCGACGGCGACAAGGGGCTTCTCATCGAGCAACCCGTGAACATCCAGGATGCACCGCTCTACCCGTACCGCGGCATCATGGTGGACACGGCGCGCAACTTCATCTCCGTGCCCAAGATCCTCGAGCAGTTGGATGGCATGTCCCTGTCCAAGCTCAATGTGCTGCACTGGCATCTGGACGACGCACAGTCCTGGCCTGTCCAGGTCGACAAGTACCCCGAGATGACCAAGGACGCCTATTCGCCGCGTGAGATCTATAGCCATGCCGACGTGCGCAAGATCGTCAAGTACGCGCGCGCCCGCGGCATCCGCGTCATCCCCGAAGTCGACATGCCCAGTCACTCGGCCGCTGGCTGGCAGCAGGTTGACCCGGAAATGGTGACGTGCACGGACTCATGGTGGTCCAACGACGTGTGGGAGCTGCACACGGCCGTGGAACCCAACCCGGGCCAGCTGGACATCATCTACCCCAAGACGTACGAGGTGGTGCGCGACGTCTACCAGGAGCTCTCCGACCTCTTCCCTGACCACTGGTTCCACGTCGGCGCCGACGAGATCCAGCCCAACTGCTTCAACTTCAGCAGCCACGTGACGAAGTGGTTCGCCGAGGATGCCTCGCGTACCTACAACGACCTGGCCCAGTACTGGGTCGACCACGCCGTGCCCATCTTCCGCAACTACAGCGCGGACCGCCGGCTCGTCATGTGGGAGGACATCACGCTGTCGGCCGAGCACGCGCACAATGTCCCCAAGGACATCGTCATGCAGAGCTGGAACAACGGCCTCGAGTACATCTCCAACCTGACGGCGCGCGGCTACGACGTCATCGTCTCCTCCTCCGACTTCATGTATCTCGATTGCGGTAAGGGCGGCTTCGTCACCAACGACGCGCGCTACAACGTCATGTCGAACCCGGGCACGGCGGATGTCCCCAACTTCAACTACGGTGGCAACGGCGGGTCGTGGTGCGGCCCCTACAAAACCTGGCAGCGCATCTACGACTATGACTTCACGCTGAACCTGACCTCGGCGCAAGCCAAGCACATCATCGGTGCCACGGCCCCGCTCTGGAGCGAGCAGGTCGACGACGTGACGGTGTCCAGCCAATTCTGGCCGCGCGCCGCGGCGCTGGCCGAGCTGGTGTGGTCGGGCAACCGGGACGCCAAGGGCAAGAAGCGCACGACGGAGATGACGCAGCGGATTCTGAACTTCCGAGAGTACCTGGTTGCCAACGGGGTGATGGCCACGGCGTTGGTGCCGAAGTATTGTCTGCAGCACCCGCATGCTTGTGATCTGAACCAGAACCAGACGGCGATTCAGTAGTCTGGCTGATTGCATGAGTTGGTGTGATTGGAATACTTGATTCGTTTGATTCCTGATTTCTCTTGATTTCTACAGCATCTGGTTAGTTTATTGGGCTTTTTCATCTAGTGATAGCTTGACTTGCTGTACTGACCATGATCTTTTAATCTGAATTGATTGATATTTTCTCTTGACATCATGCACATGTAGTACTAGTATACGTATCAGAGAGCTCTTTTCAGGCCCTGCCAGTAACTGAACCTCTTGATCTAGCGTCTAGGCCTTCGCTAGTCAAGTCCATGTCGAAATAATTCAAACAACAGCATTCACGGAACAACAAACTAAGCTCGAGATTCAGACCCATGGGTGTCAAAGAACTCTAAATCAACTCTAATACCGCCGAACCTATCATCTGCGCCAACTAGATCTGGGTCTAGAGTATGGGGAGGTCAGCATTCTTTGTTATTCGGGATCAGATCCGGAAACAATAAGCAGCTAGAGATGGTGATTTCGTGGCGTTGATTGAGGTGCGGATTGGGATTTCTGTTTTCTTTTACTGGAGGAGTGGTAGTTTGGCGGTTCTAACGACATGGGTTGATTTGGGTTGAGTGGTAGGTAGCTATAGCTATAGAGGGGGGGGAGGGAGAAACGGGTCTATATATAAGTAATTCGCAGACAAAGAAGGTTACCAAGCTATATGCGTCCCATATCTATGATCTATCTATGTCTCTCTTTTGCCCTCCATCCAGCCTCTCGCTAACCCAATGACTACTGACGTCTTCATCTACATATAGATCCTGATCTATATCTACACTACTCATCAGTCCATCAATAGTCACAATGTCCTACTCCCTCTTACCAGATTCACCACCCCCTACAAAAACAAAATCCCACCCCAACCCATACGCCCACTTCATAACACACCACCTCCCTCTCCTCCTCATCCTCTCCTTCGCCTTCCTCCTCACCCTAACCATCCTCCTGCTCCTCCTCCCAATCACAGGTCCCAATCTCCTCGGAACAGCAAGAACATGTCCCTCCTACCCGCTCTGGCAAAAACACCCTGCATACATCCTCAGTTCCTCCCGCGAAAATCCACTCAACGAGGCCCAGACACAAAACCATCACCCCCAGGATAAGGATCAAGATACGGGTAAAGACAAAACCTGGGAAAACACAGTCATCCCCCCAACCAGCGGCGGCGGAATCTTCGCTTCCCATCTCGACGTTCTCACCGAGGCGGATGTGCAGCGGGTCGGTGCGAACAAAACGCACAGTGGCGTCTTGGATCAGTCGTATAGGATTGTGATGTTTCATCAACTGCATTGTTTGGGGGCGTTGAGGGGGAAGATCTTTCCTGATGCTGTACATGAACATAAGCATTCGGGGGGTGAGGGAAAGAGCACCGAGAGTGAGAAGGAAAAGCAAATCAAGGAGCAGGATCATCTAGGCCATTGTTTTAAATATATTTTGCAGGTTCGTTTATACCACTCTCTCCTTCCCTCCGTTCCTCGCCGTTTTGCTCTTTCGCCGACTCACCATCTAACCCCGAATAAGATAGCTGGTTAACAAGGAAGATAGTCCATCCTCTGCTCCGCCTCCGACACAATCGAACGTCCCAAACACATCACGCCGCACGGAAAACCCATGTGGCATATTGACGGCATTGGGAACGTGCATTGATGTCGAGACGCGAAGGTACTGTGGACGGTCTCGGAACAGAGTCTGCTACATCCGGTCGATATGAGAGCGTGGAAGGGAGAGGAGGGGGTAGGTGTTAGGGATTTTTTTTTTAGTTGATCACCCTCTTGGTTTTTCGTCTGTCTCTTGAGGCCTGTGGGAGTGTAGTGGATTATGGCCTGGGGTTACAGATGGACTAGTTACCGATGAAGGTGGTTGTTTGTTTGTTTAAAGGGGATATGGGTTGCTTAGATTGAGTTCTTGGGTACATGAACCGAACCGTCTACGCATCTTCAGAGTGAAGCACGGATATGTTTCTATCCGCAACAAGACTTGTCGCGGACAGCTTAATTTCTCGATGAGATGTTGGAAGTTGATAGGCTCCAAACAACGACGTGATCATTCGAGGTCTCAAGTGGAGAGTCTTGAGTATGACGTTTTGTTCGTAATATATTTTTAGCATCTATGATAGGATGATACATCTATAATGGACAGTCTGGGGAGGTGCTGTTCTGTGATGGCATACCTAATATATCACCCGGCAGTCGCGCAACTTGCCAGGTGTCTCCCTCGACGTCGAACACATACAGATGATTGTCTATAATTTACCTCAAACGTGATTCCATGATAAGACGTCCCGCTTAGCGATTCGTGCTGCAAGACCATCCAATGCTGGATGCTGTATATTTGCAATGTTCTCCGTGAAAACAAAAAGCCGATAGAAGAATTTATTTAAAAAGACATGAAAAAAAAGGCAAGCTTAGCGCAGAGCCAGGAGTTTCTGGACATTAACTCATTTCTATTTCTCGCTCGTGGCAGTATAAATTTCATAATGATCATAACAGCGAAATACGTCTTCTCAACTGAGCCGCAAGTATAGATTTATCGGATCTGTACATCTTAAAGAAGTTGGATTGCACCTTTTCCTCAGTTCCTTCCCCTCAGTTACTAGCGGGTTTTCATAACAGGGAAAGCTCCCGCAGGTCCGGCTGGGGGTAGCCAATTTCGGCCAAAACGTTGGCCAGGGCCTCAGGGTTGCGACGTAATAGATCCCATTCGGCTTCCGCCTTCACCATGAGGGTACCGGCGAGTACTGTGCCGTTCAGAGCAACGATCCCGGCCTCGGCGATATCCTGAGACACGGCAGGATCCACAGGGATTCGACTACTTTCATTCCTCCGCGGACAGATCATCATCACCGATTCCGTCATGGCCAGATTATAACCGATCGCCGCCGGACCACTGCTTGCCTGAGCGCCGTGGTCGCCCGACTTCCCCTTCGCGGTTGCCAAGGCGGCGCGGTAGAGAGAAAGATAGATGGCATGGAGGGTATCGGCCGACGGGTTGGACGGCAAGGGCAGGGCGAAGTGCGCGAACGGGAAGTGGCTCAGACACAGAACCTTACCGGAACCCGAGCTCGACGGGGAAGAAGAAGGTTGCGATGCAACGAAATCGATCAAAGGCTGCCAGCTACCCGAGTCGCCGCCCTGCGCCATGTCCTCGACCGGGAGAAACTGCAGATGTCGATGGGGTTGGCTCGCACCGCTCTCGTTTCCGGAGTTAAAGAAGGCAAACAGTCGCTTGGTCTCCGTGCCGTCTGTTTGAGACCCCCATTCCTTAACGCAGGCATACGCCGCTTCCAGGTCGTCCTTTTCTAAGATGTCCGTTTGCGAGTTCCACGACGTCGTGGCGAGGATGAAGTGGTTGGGAATGACGGGGAATTTGTTCAATACGAGGAAATGTGACGGGTTCTCTCGCGGGATCTGAGCGATCAGGAGGTCGGACGATGGATTCTCGAAGGGGTCTGGTTTGGGTCCGGGGGGGCCTTTGTCGGACTTAGGGTTCGCGCTGGGTTTCTTCGCAAGCGCAGGGCAATATCGGAGTTGGAACTTAAAGCAACGGAACGGCTATCGTCAGCAATTTGGCCACAGAATCAGGAAGTAGGAAAGCAAGGCACGGTACCGGAATCCCCGAGGCGCTAACGGTCGTAAGTTGGGTCTGGGAGAAGAGTAGGTGACCCGCATCTTTGGCAGCTACGAACCGCCGGGCCACCAGGGCCGACAGATGCTCGGAAAGGCCCAATTGCATGATGTGCTAGTGCAGCGACGGGAGGGAAGAAGTGGAAAGGGAAGTTGAAACAGACTTGCGGGAGAGGAAGGCGGAATGCGGGGGGAGTCGCGGACATGTGAGCGGCTCCGAGTTTCACACTAAACCCGTTTGGCTCGAGCCCTAGTGTTTACGATTCTATGCTTAAAGTCGTTCTGGAGAGGATTCAGAAAGAAAAAGTTTGATGTGAATTAAAAATGGTTGTCATCAAGGCCCAGAATTTCTCCGTTCAAAATGCTCCTTTCCAACCTTTTTTTGTTGCCTGAACTCCAAATGGCACAGCCCGTCAGGAACAGGAGAAAGAAAGTAAACATACAACACCACATATATAAAGAACCCAGAGATAAGAAACGAAGATCACACAGAATCAAGATAGGGATATAGAGAGCAAGGTATTGGTATCAAGGTACGACGCAAACAGAGTAAGTAAAAACGCTATCATGCCACACATGCAGAACGACGGGTTCGTCAAGAAAGCAAAATGACAGAGTCTTAGGACATCAACTCTTCAATGTCCACATCAGCCTCGCGAGACTGGGATAGATCAGGGAGTATCATGGCCGGTTGGCCGATAAGGTGAGTGGAGGGGCCATCCAACCAAGGGCCCCGTTCCTCCTCGTTGGCGCTCAGCACGCCTTCGGCACGCTTGAGGGTTTCAACATCCAGATCGGTGATGTATGCCTCTCGGTTGGTGCCGTCTCCTGCGCCACCGGGAAGCTTGAGTCGAACTTCAAATTCGTTGTCAAGCATCATCTCATCCTTCCAGAGACGGCGTTGGCCATCAAAGACACACAACACACGCTTCTTGGTTTTGATGTTGCTGCTAGGGCAGCCCCAGGACTGGGGATAACGGTCACGGTTATTCCGTCGCTTTGATCCGGTCGCACGCTTGCTGACGGCGTTGTTTCCCAGAATGGCGCGGGACGCAGGACCCGGGTTCCCTTTGGCGGCTTTAGGGAACCCCTTAGTGGAGCGGAGAGTGGATGAAAGGTCGTTATAGTCATCATCGTCGTCATCATTCTCATCGTCATATCGATCAACGGAACCAGCCGTGTCGAGTAGCATGTGCTTCTCCATGGTCTTCTTCACCTCCTCGTCAGACTCAACTTCAGCCAGACGCTGCTGGTTGATGGCCTCGCTAGGCTCCTCTTGTTGAACCACCCGGAGGACACAATCGTCCAGATGCTCATAGAAGTCCTGAGCATTGCTGAAGGTGGCCGAGCAGGTGGAGCACTTGCCAGTGGCATCGTGGCAATAACCCGTGACGTTCTTGTTGGTCGAGCCGGTCGGGCTTCTCTTCCGGCAGTTAGGGGGGGTCTGCTCGACCCCGTGGACGGAAGTCAAATGACGCTTGAAAACGTCTGCCCGGTTGAAGCTCTTCTCTGCCGGGGATCCGGATCCCGGGCAGAAGCCGCAGACCATGGTGCCCTTGTAATGAGTGAGGGTGTGCCGGTTCTTGTCGTACTTACGTGCGAACCCCTTGACGTGGTATTCGCACGTAACGATCGGGCACTTCTCGGGTCTTTCCGACTGGTGAGTCAGCATGTGAGCCTTGAGGTCCTTGAAGATCCGGCCGCAGTCAGGATGGGGGCAGCGGTCTTTCTCCTTGCCCTCTTCGTCAAAGCCGGGGCTGCTGGCGGCGGGGCTTGGTTGCGATCGGCGAGATTTGGTGGACGAGATCGAGGATCTTCTATCGTAGATGGATACGGGGCGCGAGTGAGAAGGCATCAATGAAGGGGAGGAAGTCGGCATGGGAGCATAGGCTTCGGGGATTGCGAGTTGAGAAGGGTCGGGGGATTGGGGAAGGAATCCGGTCTGAGCCAGGGAGAAATCAGGCTGCTCAGCATAGGATAGTCCCGGGGAAAGATGAGACTGCTGATGTTGCTGCTGCTGCATTGGCTGGATCAAGGAAGGGTCTGTGAAAATTCCAATGGTCAGCTTGGCTCTTGCCATGGACCGAGTCGGGGGAAAGGCATGTGGACACTCACCGACAAAGGTGTCCGGGTACTTCTTTGCATAGAATGCGTCCGAGTCCACTGTGGTACCCATGTAGTCGTTGGGGAAGATATCATTCATGACTGCAGCAGGAAGTCCCAGGCCGTGGTTGGTATCAATCCAGCTCTCTTGGACGACATGCGCATTGCCTGAGTAGGGAGATCCGATGGCAGAAGAGGAAGCACTTGCAATTGAAGGCCCGGATGCGGTGGAGAGACCGGGCATGTAAGGCTCGGAGATCCGCGAGGTTGGGATGGGCGGGGGAGTCGCGGGCATGGGAGGAAAGCTGGCCTGTTTATGGGTTTCGGGGAAAGAGTCGGCATATACCGGGGGCGTATCATAGTACGACGAGGGCTGAGGGATCGCAGACGAAGTAGGGGCCTGGCCGAATCCGTTCAGGTTGTCCATGTGGAACCCAAAGGGTTCGATCATTGCAGGATCCATTGTGAACTGTTGCTGGAAGTACGGATTTTGTTGCTGGCGTGACGAATCCAAGGCCAACATTTTGGCACTGTCGGCAGATTGCACAGGGAAGAGGAGAAAATCAAGGTGATCTGTTTCGCTTTCCATGCCCACTTTTTGTCCAATAGTGGTTGGCTGTGCACCCCTATGCTATGTGAGGGTCTCGATGCGAGGGTTGATGTCAAGAGACAGAAGCAAGAAGAAAAGGCAATTAACGAAAAGGCAAAGGATCTGCAAGACATTCACCAAGTGTCAGCCACCCTAGATCATTTCTTTCCGGAAGAATTAAGTGATATATAGGCAATGAGATCGGGTTCCACGCAAGGGACGGGCCGCGCGGGAGGACATACTCGGTATGATTCGTTTTGCAAATAAATATGATCGGGGATGCAAGTGGACTTTGTCTGCGACTAGATCGGAGGATACTTCCAGGTCCGAGAAGAGCTGGGGCGTGGAGCGACAGACGTCGGAGGATATTCCAGGTAGCTCGTGGCGGGAGCAGGATGTGTAGCAGGACGGGGAAGGGTATAGAACGTGTGCCTAACAGCAGAACAACAGGACAAGAGTATATACGAGAGAGAGCTTGCTAAGCAGCCAGAGAACGGCCAGAGAATGGATAGACGAGGGCACAGAAGCAAGAGAAAGATATAGGACTTGGAACGTGCAACGCAACCAGATGCGAATTGAGAGATTTAAGAAAGGGAAAGGGAAAAAAAAAAAAAAAAGGTGCGTGGGTCTTTAATGGTGATCTCTTGTTTTCTCTCCGATGGATTAACTTGCGAAGACCCGTGCCTCGAGTGGGAAAGCAAGGCGTGCGAAAGACGGAGTAGAGAAGAAAGAGGGCTCAGAGGAAGTGGGAGCAAAGGATTGATATGTGATTGCTGGCCCTATGAGCGCAGTGTCCCATCTGGATTCGCAGTGGACGGGGATTGACTAAACACTACGAACGAACTAAGTCGACGCTAAAGAATGGCCATCCAGACTACTGGGGGTAGAAAATGCGCAGCAGGGGTACAGGGGTACAGAGTCATTAGCGCGCGTCGACAGACTCGAAACGACTGGGGTGGGTTGTGGGTGTGTGTGTGTGTGGATGATGTCGTCGATGATGATGATGGGATGGGTGGGTGGAGGCACTGAATGGTGGAGGGGGGAAACGGAAAAAGGGAAAAAGGGAACGAACAGGGGAGTGTGGAGCAGACTGTCGGGCAAGCAGGGGCAGGCAGTGAACACTGATTATTTTATTTTATCTATTTTGAAATAATTTTATTTAAATATTAATTCTTATTATTAGATACACCGTACGCTAGCTGGTAAGTAAATACCACACTAACCCTGCATGATGCACTGCCAGGCGGCCGAGCAGAGGGTTCTCTCTTTCCCTCGTCGTGGCTCCGGCGCATAATTCTGGTTTCCCGTCTTACCTAATTGGAATTAATTAATTTCTATTTTTTCCTCGCGATTGCCCAGTTGGTGATATTTATATCTTTCCTTCTCTGGCGGTCTTTTTCGCGCCTGCCCTGCAGCCATCCCGGGCCGGCGGTCTGGGCATGGATGCCAGTAGAGAACGATGCAAATGCCTCCGGAACCTTGGGAGTCGGTCGCATTACCAAGTCCAGTGTTGGTGATATTTTTTATTTTTTAATGCTCCGACGTCGATTTATTCTCCAGAGACCATGTATGTATGTACTCCGTACTTCGTAACGAATGGAGTAGTGTATGTAATAATGTCAGAGGTAAAAACCGAAATCTAAAAAGAAACTAAATGATCCACTTGGCCTCGGCCAATCCCTTTGCCAAAGCCTCCACAAATTACAATTGTCTCTGTTGGGCTTGGGCCTATGAGAATTTTTAATCATGGTTCCTGCATTTTTCTTTTCCTTTTTCTCTTATGAAGATCATTCCAATCTGGTATGCGGGACAGAGAGAAATGGCCCTCTGGCTTACGTCTCGTTTTATTACACGGTACTCCGTACTCCGTATCTAAACTCACCTCCCTTGATATGATCTTTCTTCTATGTAAGCTTGTCGATAAACCGCTCAGACAACCTTGAATCGCCCAAATTACAGAAACCTTCATAACGATAACTATAAAAGACCCCATTAATCAACTCCACAGAAAGGCAATATAAAAACATACGGGGTCGCCGTTCTCCGTGCCTACATTCCAGGCACTCGTATCCGCATGTGTCATCGGCAAGTCCGGGGGGCACATTGACCATGGCTGTCAGTAGCCCAATTGACTATTGATCCAACCTTGCCGATTAGTCTCAACTTTCCAAGGCAAGTGGCTGTGGCTAACAGTCGAGCGTCTCCAGATCCGCTTTCTGTCACATTGTTCGCTGATAAGATGGTGGCAAAATTTTTCACTCTTCCCTGGTTTATCTCCCACTGGCAGTGGCTGCTTTTTGCTCATCTTTCTCAAACTGCATAAGCAACCAGCCAGCACCTGCACGCGAGCGTCACTAAGGCGTGTATTTGGAATGGGCCGGCTAGGGCTATTTGGGAATGGGAAGTAACTAGTAAGATGCGCTCATTTCAATCTCAACTCCAACCTTTTTCTTTTTTTTTTTCTGTTCTTTCTATCCCTTTTCTACCTAGTCTTGCCGGACTTGGCTGCCATGCTTCCAATAGTCGATGCAGAAGAATCCCATTCAATCACAGTGATAAAGAGCATGATGAATCAATGATCGTCAAAGGCGACCGACCTCTCCGTACTGTAGACTGTCAAACTTCCACATTATTAGGCAGACTAACCATCGCGCTTGGCAAATTGCAGCACTCCCTTAATGTCTTGGTTCCCCGTACACCACCCTGTATCATCCTTCCGTCCCGTCAATCCGGTTCAGATCATCGACATCATTTCCCTTTCTTATTTTTATTTATTTCCATTCTAGAAAAAAACTCAGTGCTATAACTCCGTAGTCCAAAAAACATCTGACTAAGGGTCCTTAGCAGCGGTCTAAAAATCCATCAGATCTGGTCTAGCCAAACTCGACTCCATAGGACTCCATCAGGTAGGTAGATAGATACTAGAGACGAGGTAGGCAGGTACTGGTAGGTAGGAAGGTCGCCAGTTCCGAACTTACACCCAAGTTTCTCCCAGCAATGGAACCCATTGACGATCTTAGCACAAGAAAGCAAAAGAAAAAAAAAAAAAAAAAAAAAAAAAAAAAAAAGTGCCCCCCCCACCCGCCCCCCCCACCCACCCCCCTTTCAAAAACAGGCAAGCGGTTACACCGGGGGTGAGTTGCGGTGAAAACCTGACAGGCGAAATTAAGTGTCAAAAGAGCTTGTTACAAACAGCGAC